ACAGTCAAGTATGGAATATGAACATGAAAAATAATTGAAGCAGATTGTGATAAATATGGTAGTACAAATGTATGAAATGCTCTATGTCTCAGAGAAGAGGACTGCTAACTATGCCTACACAGTCAAAGCAAAGCCTATCAGAAGAGGTGGCCTTAGGTCTTCAGAGGTACCCTGGCATTCTAAAAACAGCATGAATTTTATTTTACTATTTTTTTTTAATTTTATTTTTTTAATTTGAGAGAGAGGGAGAGGCATGTGCGTGCAGGGGAGGAGCAGAGGAAGAGGGAGAAAGAGACTTTCAGCAGTTTCCACACCCAGTGCAGAGCCTGATGTAGAGCTCTATCTCATGACTGTGAGATCATGACTTGAGTGGAAATCAAGAGTCTGAAACTTAACTGACTGAATCACCTAGGTGCCCCATAAAAACAGCATGAATTTTAAAGTTAGACCTAAGTTTCTATCCGCTCTGACACTTTGACTTAGTGACATTAATCAAATTACTTAATTTCTGGGAGCCTTGATTTCCTCAATTCTATAAAATAGTTAATATTTGGGATTTTTTAATAATTTTTTTGTGTAATGTTTATCTTTGAGAGAAAGAGAGAGCATGAGCAGGAGAGGGGCAGAGAGAGGGAGACAAAGAATCCAAAGCACAGACCCCAGCGTGAGGCTTGAACTCACAAGCTGTGAGATCATGACCTGAGCTGAAGTTGGACACTTCACTGATGGAGCCACCCAGGCACCCCAACATTTGGAATTTTTTGTGGTGTTTTAAAGATTAGAAACTAAAGCACTAGCATAAGTGTCATAATCACAAATGTTCTTACAAATGGATATTGGTTGCTTTATTGTTTTCATTAATACTGTGTTACTTATCATTATTGATGAATGTATCAGAATTAGGCAGGTAAAAAATTGGTTAAAGGGATATAGACTAAGTGAGGAAGGATGTCAAAGTGGAAGTCTAATAAACTAATAGAATAGAGAAGGCTGGGTGAGTTTTTATTTTCATTTTTATTTTTCTCCATTAAAAAAAATATATTTATTTTGAGAGAGAGAGAGAGAGAGAGAAAGAGAGAGAATGCTGGTGGGGGAGCAGCAGAGAAAGAGGAGAGCAAGAATCCCAAGCAGGCTCCTTCCACACTGTCAGTGCAGAGCCCGACAGAACCCAACATAGGGCTCGATCTCACATACTGTGAGATCATGACCAGAGCTGAAAACAAGAGTTGGGACACTCAACTGACTGGGCCATCCAGGTGCCCCAATTTTTTTTTTTAATTGAGGCATAACTTACATATAGTTAAATGCACAGCTTTTTGAATTTTAAGTTACACATAGACACATGTAACCAGTTCCCAAATCCGCAGAAGACTCCCTCATGCCCCTCAAATCAGTTCCTCCTACAACAAAGATAAACCACTATAACAACCTCTAACACTATAGATTAGATTTGCCATTTCCTGAACTTTATATAAATGGAATCATACAATGAGTGCTTTTTTTTTTTTAATGGGAAGACATGGCTTCTTTCACTCAATATTTATGTCTGTTTTATGTAATAATAATTGGCTCTTTTTCATTGCTGTGCAGCATTCCATCGTGTAAATATACTGCAATATATTCTATTAATAACCATTTGAGTTGGTTTCAGATATTGGCTATTATGAATAAAGCTGCTTTGAATATTTTTGTACTTTCTTTTGATATATATACAACCATTTCTTTCAGGTATATCTAGGATTAGAATTGGTTTGTGTAGAATACCCATATATTCAGATTAAGTACATACTTTCAAATAGTTTTCCAAAGTAGTTATGCCCCTTTATACTCTCATCAATGGCAAGTAGACTTCCAGAGGCTCCACATTCTCATCTGTACTTGGAAAGTGTTAGCCTTTTTAGTTTTAGCATTTTGATGGGGATATAGGTCTCTGTTATCATTGAGGCAGTAGGGAGAATAGCAGGAAGATCATTTACTGCTAAAGTCACTGATACACAAACTTGGTAAAAAGTCATGATCTGAAACCGTTCTGCTTTTTTTTTTTTAAGTTTATTTATTGATTTTGAGGAGTGGGTGCACAGGAACAGGGGAGGGGCAGAGGGAGAGAAATAATCCCAAGCAGGCTCCGTGCTGTCAGTGAAGAGCCAGACACTGGGCTGGATCTCACAAACCAGGAGATTATGACCTGAGCCAAAATCAAGAGTGAGACAGTTAACCAACTGAGCAACCCAGGCGCCCCTGTTCTGCATTATTAATAATTATGGTCAATAATAATGTGTCATAGGCTTTAGGATTTTGTCTATAAATATCACTCTAAAAAATTAAAGGAGTGGGGCGCCTGGGTGGCTCAGTTGGTTAAGCGGCCGACTTTGGCTCAGGTCATGGTCTCACAGTTTGTGAGTTCGAGCCCCGCGTTGGGCTCTGTGCTGATAGCTTGGAGCCTGGAGCCTGTTTCAGATTCTGTCTCCCGCTCTCTCTGTTCCTCCCCGCTTGCACTCTGTCTCTCAAAAATAAATAAATATTAAAAATAAAGGAGTAATTTTAAAGTATTTTGAATCACCACACATGGTGGAAAATAAAAGCCTAAGAAGTATTTTGGCAGACCCCTTTTTGCTTCTAATAAATATGCTTTTATTTTACACGTCTTTAGGAAACCAGCTTTATACAGACTAAAGTGTCTAGAGTGACACTTTGTGCTTTGCTTATTTTGGAATTACCCTTGAAAACTTAGTGTACAATCTGGCAATATTTCCTTTTTAAGGCTTTTGAACATTTTTGTATGTTCCTTGCACATTATGCTGATTATCTACTTGTATTTATCCTTAGTTGAAACTCCCAAGTATTTGACCAGACTTGGCATCTTGCTTTATCCCGCTATAATTTTAAGTAACTTGGGAGTCATCAGGGCCAGCTTTTAAAATAATGATTGGCAAGTTTGAGGTATAGAGAATCTTTTAAAGTGGTATGTTCGTTTACTGGGTTTGGCAGGTAATATACAACAAAGGTTTATGATTGTCCTTTTATAACATTAGAAACTTTCTGTGAGACTTATTTGCATGTCAAAGTCTATTCAGATTTATAACTTTTACTTTTGTTTTAATTTACTATTACGCTTTTAAAATAATGTGTGAAAGTAGAATGGTTTCTACTTCAAAATGGGTGTTAATCTAATAAATGGATTGGGCTAGATTCAGGTGAAACCCAAGTCAGTAGAGAAATTGAAGTTGAAAGTCTGTTCTTGTGAGAATAAATGACGTCATTTTTTTATATTTATAATATATACTTTTAGAAAATTTTGTTCTTTTGTACATATATGTAGAAAATCTTTTTTTTTTAATTTATATATGAAATTTATTGTCAAATTGGTTTCCATACAACACCCAGTGCTCATCCCAAAAGGTGCCCTCCTCAATACCCATCATCCACCCTCTCCTCCCTCCCACCCCCCATCAACCCTTAGTTTGTTCTCAGTTCTCAACAGTCTCTTATGCTTTGGCTCTCTCCCACTCTAACCTCTTTTTTTTTTTTTTTTCCTTCCCCTCCCCCATGGGTTCCTGTTAAGTTTCTCAGGATCCACATAAGAGTGAAACCATATGGTATCTGTCTTTCTCTGTATGGCTTATTTCACTTAGCATCACACTCTCCAGTTCCATCCACGTTGTGTAGAAAATCTTTGAAGTAACTTATGTGAGTTTGTTAGTATTAAGGATTACATATTAACAAAATGTTATTATTCTGAGTAAATATATAACTTCAGTTTGCTTTATACTCAAGTCTAAAATTTTGGTTATTTAAAATTTCATGTTGCATTTATGAAAGTTCTTTTCCCCCTAGTATTGGGTTTGAGTGATCCTTCTCCTTACCATAGTTGGGAGGACAGGGGGAGATTCCTTCTTCGTATTACAGAAAATAATTCAACCAAATCTCTGGATTAGGAAATTGGAATGGATTTGTTTTTAGCTAATATAAACTAAATGCAGAATAAATGGTATCACTGGTATGTTAGAACGGATTTCTAAATGCTTCAGGCAGTGGTGCTACTGATGATTTTTTAAGTGCTGCTTTATGAACAATTATATATATATATTTATTTAATACAGGCTTTTATTGGATTTAGAACAAATAATTATAGGGAAGAGTTAATAATACTTTCCCTCAAAAGTAGAAAGAACATTATTAAAATGAGTACTCCTTTTTTTGACACAAAAATTTCAGTATTAACATTTCTCTCATTGTATTATAATAACATTAATTTGTTAATTGCCTTGGCACAGTGTTACATTAATGTGTTACATGAGTGCAGGGATCTGTGCATGTTCATCCCAGTGCATTGGTGTATTTTAGATTTATCTTTTTACAATTTGTGCAGCATTAGTGCCAACGATCATCTTAAGAGTCAATATTAACTGAATGTGTACTATGTGGAAAATGCTATGCTAAGTGTTTTCTTTTTCTTTTTTTTGTTTTTTTAATGCTAAGTGTTTTCTAATGGATCCTCATGTAATTCTCACAGTAAGCACATTGTTAGATTTTTTTAAGTCTGTCCCTCAACCTAGATTTATTTCTCTAGTCTCTCAAAACCAGTTCTGGAGTTGTTTCCAATTTGGCAAGAGGTGTGAAAAGTATGTTGAGTTGTTTCTGTCAGTTAGGATTCTTCATTAGAAAACCACTCACTAGAATAAAAGCTCCACAAGGCCTGAATTTATACAAAGTGTTCTGAGATCACAGAAAAGAGGTCTTGAGCTTGATGTTGATGGATTCAGGAAAAGACTTCATTGCCTTTGGAAGCCTTAATTTATTTTAAAGAGTTATTAAGCTACGTATGATCCCTTAGAAATCTTTTAAACTATAATAGTTTAACGCTATGTTTGGTCTAGGCTTTTTATACCAGTGTTCATAAAATATAATGTATATTTGAAATTGGATGACTTATATGCCTCTACTTTCTAATGCCTACATGCTATATAGTAATATTGAAATGATGACAATGTGTTTTAAAGGTTTTGACAGAGGAAAGGAAGACATTTCTCAAAATAAAGATGAATCTTCACTTTCTATGTCAAAGAGCAAGGTAAGCATATGCTGTCCCCAAATACATTATTATGGCATTTTTCTAATATTTAAGATGAGGAACTAACACTAAAATCCTATCCAATTTTTATGACATGTTTTTATGTTGGTTTATCTAAACCATGATCCACTGGGGTTGATATGGCTGCTGTTGATTACTTGGGAATACAGTCTGTTGGTAACCAGTGTGTTCTCTCCAGAGTTCTGTTGTTTCTGGTATGTCTATTATAGTAACAGACCGAAGTCTGAGGGTTCCATTCAGATAAATTCTCAGGATTTGTGTGTGGTTTTGTTTTGTTTTAATTCTTAAGTGTTTTGAGTTTATCTGAATGACTATCAAAATACATACATTTTACCAAAGGCTGAAGATCTCCTGCAGTAGCCTGCAGTTGAAAGATCTCTTCTTAGATAGAATAAGATAAAGTTTCCTAAATTAATGATTCTCAAACTGGGATACTTGTGCATATTCTTACTGTTGAGAATTTGTTCTTTAAAGGGTAAAATTCAAATTTGAGAAACATTGTGTAACACATTGGTTTTCCTTTCTTAATTCACTAGATTTGCTATAATTTGTTAAGGAATTTGACTTCTGACTATTATTTCTGGTCAGGTTTAATAGCAGAAGCAGCTTTTGTTTGTGGAATCAAACTTCAGTGACTGTAAGAAAACCTATTTCTTAAACTAGTAAATTCTCTGCTATTCTCAGCACTGGATTTTGGTTTTAAAACCCCTTATTTTTCTTCCACAGCTACTGGTCTGCAGCTGTTCTTATGTAGCAGTTGTGGCATACCTCTGTGGGAGAGAAACTGTTCCATGATTAAACACCTCTTTCTTAGCAAAATTGAAGTGGGCATATGTGTGACAAACAGAAGATGAAAAAAACCCTACATTTTTGTTTCCATTCATGGGAATGATTGGGAGGAGTCCATGATATGTATATATAATTTTACATAAATTTTATCCACACTTTTCAAGTATTCATTACATAAATATCATATGTGTAAAAGTACTCGGGATGAAAGTTTAATAGTAATTCATATATATATAAAACATATGAATGAGAAATTCCTTGATCATTTTATATGAGATGTGTTATTAAAGAAAATTAAAGAGGAAATAATTTATCTTGGGTCTTCAGTGCTAGAAATACGATGAAATTTATAGAACTGTAAAGACCTATTTTCAGGCAGTTAATGCCAGAATTGGTGAATATGTAGTAGAGCAGTATTCCTGTTCAGAAGCCTAAATACTTAAATACTTACATATCACAGTCACCCATATGAAGTCTCTAAATTGGGAGGTGGGTGGCAGAGAGAGCAGGGAGCCTGAAAAGAAAGTTTACATACTTTACTGGAGCAGGGTGCATTAATGCAAAAAGCACAGGCTTTAGAAATGCACTTTGAGAACAACAGCACTGATCATATATGACTCTTTAAATTTGAATTAACTAAAATTGACTGAAATTAGAAATTTAGTTCCTCAGTTACACTAGCCACATCTCAAGTGCTCAGTAGCCACATATGGCATTTCTGTCATTCAGAAAGTTCTGTTGGACAGAACTGTTTTAGAATAAAAAGTGTGAGTTTGAATCTTATATACGTTACCTATATAGATACTAATTACAGTGATATTAATAGCTATTTTGTATTAAGAGCTTACTGTGTGTCCTCTTAACTCTCATAACGATACTTGAGGATACGGGTATTATCGGCCCCATTTTATAAGTGAACAGACTGAAACTTAGAGAAATTAAGTAACTCTCAAGAGTCAAAGTGGCTTTAGTTTTCTTGCCTGTGCAAGGCAAATAAGATCCACACCCCAGACTGTGATACCGCAAGTGCCTGGCAGAGTACCTAATAGTAGGTATTTGAGAATTCATTTTCTTTCTTTGAATAAGAATTACAGTGAGGGGCACCTGGCTGGCTCAGTAGGTAGAGTGTGCAACTCTTGCTTGTGGTTGTGAGTTCAAGCCTCACTTTGGACATAGAGCTTACTTGAAAAGAAAAAAAAACAAAAAAAGAATTACAGTGAATGACTGGGGATTCTTAATGTGATAACTAGTGTAAGTAAGATTATACTCATCCTGTTATTTTCCAAGCTGGAACCTATTGATTCCATCTTTAGGTTTAATACTTGTTAATTCTGTTAGCTGAAGAGATTCATAATTGCTAGTTTGTCCTTAAATATTTTAACACGTAACCTAGTCTCTTGTTTTTCACAACAATCTTAAAATTTATACATTTGTCATTAAACTACATTCACATGGAATTCTGAACATTTTAGTCTTAAAGTTTTGTTATTCCTTCTTTAATCAGTGTGCATAACTGACTTTGTCTCTCTCTCTCAAAAATAAACATTAAAAAAAATTTTTTTTTTAAATTTATGAGTTATGCTAACAGCTCAGAGCCTGGAGCCTGCTTTGGATTCTGGGTCTCCCTCTCTGCCCCTCCCCCACTTTCACTTTGTCTCTCTCTCTCTTTCAAAAATAAATAAACATTAAAAAGATTTTAAAAAATCAGTATGTGTAACTGAGTCCATCATAATTTTAACTGTATACTTTTCTGAACTTGATACAAAAAGTAATAATACTGCCATTTTGATCATAAGATTTGGGATTAAGTTATTTCTTAAAATACATGATTAAGACCAGTGAGCACAATGGAATATACCCTTTTTTTGGAATACACCCTTTTTTACCCCCACATTTTTTACACCCCCCCCATTTAAAAAAATATGGTTTCTATTTCTCATGCATTCTGTAAATGAGTGTGAATTGGAAAAGTCAGTTAATGAAGTCATCCCATCTTCCTGTTAGCATTTTTATTTTAATGTTTATTTACTTTTGAGAGAGAGACCGAACGCGAGTGAGGGAGGGGCAGAGAGAGAGGGAGACACAGAATCTGAAACAGGCTCAAGACTCTGAGCTGTCAGCACAGAGCCCGATGTGGGGCTTGAACTCATGAACCATGAGGTCATGACCTGAGCCAAAGTTGGATGCTTAACCAACTGAGCCACCCAGGTGCCACCCTGTTAGCATTTTTAAAAGAATTTTTACTTTAAAAATTTGTTTTTAGCTTATTTATTTTGAGAGAGGGGGAGTGGGGAGGGGCAGAGAGAGAGAGGAAGGAAAAGAGAAAGAATCCCAAGCAGGCTCTGCATTGTCAGCATGAAGCCAGAGGTGGGACTTCAACTAAAGAACCCTGAGATCATAATCTGACCTGAAGTCAGGTGCTTAACTGACAGAGCCACCCAGGCGCCCCTAAAAGAAATGTTGTCCATCTCAACAGAAGGAGTTACCAGCAAGGGTACTGTGTCTAGTGGGATAAAAGGAATCCTGTTACAAGGATAGTGGGTTTTTGAGCCAAGATCTATTTATTGACTTGATTTTCCCCTCAGCTGTACATCTGCCCATCTATAGATACTCTGAATCATCTATCACTTGCTATAAAAAATATATTTACTTGGACATTTAAAAGGACTTTCCAAATCAGAATATCTGATATAGTCATAGTAACTTATTATCATCATCATCACCATCATCATCATCATCATCCCTTATATATGTAGTATTTTTTAGTTTTCAAAGCAAGTTGAAAGTATTCTCATATAATGTTCATTTAAAGGTCAAATTTTTGACAGCATTTGCAATCTAGGAGATAGTCACAAACCTGAAACACAGTACGTACAACTACGCTATACACATCATATACACTACCTCATTTAATCATCAAAGGAATCCTTAATTCCTGTTGTTCGTGAAGATAAATCTTAAATTTGAGTCTGGCTGAGAGTCTGTGTGAATAGTTTTAAAAGGTGAGAAATCATTAAAAAGGTGGCCAAGAGCCTGAGACTGGGAATTAGGTAGACCAGGGAACAAATCCCAGCTCATCTACTTACTGCCTCTATGACTTTGGGAAGTTATTTTTAGTTGGTTAGTCTTGGTTTCCTTATTAGCAAAGGGGAGATACTACTACTATCTCATAGGGTTGCTGTGAGGATGAAGTATTTAGAATAGTTTTTGGTAAAGAATAAGTAGCCATTAATTTTCATTAGCATTTATTCTTCATTTACCAGTATCTAAGAAGTACATTATAATACACATTTTCCTATTAAGCTGGGGGAAATAGAAATCATCCTGTTCTTCTGACAGTACCTTTGCCATCCTTGGGTTCTCAGCGGCAAGAAGAAGACAGAGACCTGTTTGGCTTGAGGAATTTTGTAAAATTGTTTTGATATCATAATCTGTGCCATTCTCAGAGTAAATTGTATGGTGTTTCAAGTCTAGTCCTGAAAGGAGTGACTTCAACAAAAATTTAATTGGGTTAACCCCCACCTCCAGTAGTTTGTAGTTCTCTTCTATCTAGTTCAGCCAGTTATTATTACCACCACTGTAATAACCCATATCTTATACCTAGTAGCAGAGGCATTTTCAGGAGAGGTAAAAGAAGTGAGTTGCAAATGCTAGTTTAATTTTCATTTTATTAATTCATCAGGTATTTGGTGAGCCCTTTCTTTTCCCCAGGTGTTACCTGGGTATCATTGGTGAAAAAATATGGTCCCTGCCTTCATGGTTTTTAAAATTGAGTGAGGGAGTTTATACCCAAAGTTTTTTGTTTTTTTTTTTTTGTTTTTTTTTATCCGTGAGCACACCTAGTGATATGCACATTGGCAATTCAGCATTTGAAAACCACCATTTGGATCAAGCCCCCCATACTTTCTTGGCACTAGGAGTCACGCTTAGAACTTTAAGTACCTGTGTCTAACAATAGATAAAACAATAGATAAAAATGAAAATCATAGAACACAAAGCACTAAACATGTTTAATTGTATTGTTCCAAGATTTACAGAAGCAGTTTTCGTGTTTATGCTCTTTTATTCTGGTTAAAGAATGTAGTTTCCTTAAAAGAGTGTTGGATTAAGAGACCTAGATATCCCTGTATATTTATTATTTATTGTTAGTTTAGAAGATCATGATTTGTAAAATGGAGATAAAACCACTTGTTAAATCTATTTTTCAAGGTTCTTGTGAAGATCAAATGAAAACAAATATAAACAAAGTCTGGAAACAAGTTTAAGACCATAATACTCAAGGGGCACTGGATAGGTAGGAAGAAATAGATGTTAGGAATATTGGTTTTTAAACACTACAAATGAGATAGTGTTTTAATACTAATTTCTGAAGATCTATATATTTCTTTCCATTGGAGAAGTAGCAATAGGGCAGTACGTGCGGTAACTTGCTAAAATACACGTGGTTTGGTTTTTTGATTTGGAATATTTTAAGTGTTAAAAAATTAACATTCCTTTGGATACTTTTGTTTTAAGAATAAATAATTGCGTATGTTTCCTAGAAATTGCCTAGAAAATAGAATGCAAAAATTTACAAATGATCTTATTTAATCTTATATTGTGGTTTAATTTATTGACTAGGTTATTTTTAAGTCTGTTTTTTTAGTAATCTCCACACCCAATGTGGGGCTCAGACTCAAGACCCCAAGATCAAGAGTTGCATCCTTTTCTGACTGAGCCAGCCAGGCGCCCCTGATTAGCGTTTATTTTAGTACTTTTGTGGGTTTAACATGGATTAGTTTTTAAACACAAATGCTTTATAGGGAAAATTGACATTTGAAAATTTGTATTTGGCTGTATATGCTGTATATAATTTGTGTATAATGTATATAATTTGTATAGGCTGTATCACAGTGATAAATGGGAAGAATGTCACAAACATAGCTTTAACATTAATTTTTTTTAAATTTTTTTTTAACGTTTATTTATTTTTGAGACAGAGAGAGACACAGCATGAACGGGGGAGGGGCAGAGAGAGAGGGAGACACGGAAGCCATCAGCCCAGAGCCCGATGCGGGGCTCGCACTCGCGGACCGCGAGATCGTGACCTGAGCTGAAGTCGGATGCTTAACCGACTGAGCCACCCAGGCGCCCCTAACATTAATTTTTATATGCTGTATGTATAGAATAAGTGAAGGTTTTAATTATTATTTCTTTTTTGTTCATTTCCCTGTGATTTCAGTCTGAATCTAAACTTTATAATGGCTCGGAGAAGGATAGTTCAGCTTCAAGCAAGCTCACAAAAAAAGAATCTCTCAAGGTTAGTTTCCACAGCTATTTCATAAATAACATTATGCTTTGCATGTGCTTTTGAAAGTAGGATAACAGAAAAAGATGTATCTCCTAAAGAAAGAAAAATAATGTTAGACAGGCACACATAAAAACTGTTACTATTTGTGTGGCACACTGGAGTCAACTGAAAAGGCTACTTGATGACCATCCAGTGCCGCTTCAGGCCTCACCTTGCCGTCCAGAGGCTGAGGACTGGTGTATCTGCACAATTGTACCTGAGTTAGGCATATCACTGTGTTGTAGAACACATGGGAAGCTGTGATGCTTTTTGACATTCAAGTTTACTAAAAGTCATGGGCTGAATTTGGCCCACAGATAGATATTTTGTTTGACCCACACAATGGTTTAAAAATTTGCAGTAACAGTTACAAGTTCAGATTTCCAGCCCCTGTCTAAGAAATACTCCCTTTGGACTGTCTTCCAGAATGACCACAGATCCTTGACCTTAAGAAATAACATGCTTTCCAGTCCACTCTCAGTCCCTGCATGGTCTATTTTACCCCCCTTTTTTTTCTTGCATCTGATCCTATATGCATTTGTATTTGCAATCCCATATTAAATCTGTTAATTCAGATATGAATATTAATAAGGACCAAAGTCTGAAGTATTTTGGTTGTATAATTATTAAAACTTCTTTACTATTAAGTGCAACTAGGAAGGTTTTATAGCTAAGAGAAGTTCATCACTGGGAGTTTTCCACTACTCTTCTCTCGTCTGTGTAATAACAACAGAGCAATAATGAGACTGTTAATCCACTCCTGCCTTCCTAGACTATCTCACAGGTGACTTTTGAAAGTAAAACTTTAATATTTTGATTGAATAAATACCACTTTGTGGTTTCTTAATTATTTCTTACATCATAGTACAAAGAAGGAACAAAATTGCCAGTTGCAAATAATCATAGCATTGTTTGTAAAATGAAAAACTGGTAACAGAGTGGATTTCCATCAGTGAGAGAACTTACTAAGAAAAATTATAGAAGCAGTATAGCATGGTGGTTAAGACCATGTCTTTTAGAGCCAGTCTGCCTCTGAGTTGTGCCTGCATGACTTACTAGCTGTGTGATCCTGGGCAAGTTACTCTCTGTGCCTCAGTTTTCTCATCTGTAAAATAAAGATAATAATTGGCCTACTTCCGAGGTTATTTCAAAGATTAAATGAGGTAGTACATGTAAAGTGCTTATTAGTACAGTAATTGGTGCACAGAATATGCCCAGTAAATATTAGCTCTTACTGAGATAGGCATGGAAGTGCTCCAAAAAATACTGAATAGAAGAACCTTTTTAAAAAATGTGTTTAAAAACGTAGAACCACAAAAGCTGTATATTTTTTAGGTTGTATACATAGAAAAAGCCTGAAAGGATAGTGTTTTCTGGAAGTGTTAACAGTGGTCAGTTCTGAGGATTGGAATAGGATAGGGTATAATCAAGACAGCTTTAGTTTTATTTGTGTTGTTTGAAATTCTTACCATGAGATTGGATTCATGTAGTATTGTGTGGCTAAAAGTAAAATTCTTCAAAAACATACAGAGCTAGTGATCAGAAAAACAAGATTCTAAACTCTAAAAATTCCTACCAGCTCTTTAAAAGTTCTTTTATCCTAAGAAGCTAGAATTCTAAAAGAGGTTTAGAATTGTATGCTCTACATTCTATAGACCTAAAAAATTTGGAAAGAAATTGCCCATTTCTAGTGAATTTTTAATTTTTCTACTATTTCTGTAAAATAGGTGCAAAAGAAAAATTACCGAGAAGAAAAGAAAAGAGCCACAAAGGAGTTACTCAGTACAATCACAGATCCTTCTGTTATTGTTATGGCTGATTGGTTGAAGGTCAGTTTGTATTGAAGCTTGAATTCAAATTGCTGGATGTTTACCTACAGGAATAGGAAAGCCCAAAGAGCACCTAAAGCCTACAAGACAAAAACAACTCCTGGGATGATTGTTTTTCACTGGCAAACTATTAATTGTATCCCAGAGGTTCTATGTTCTAGTCATAATGGGGAGAAGGAAACTTAATATTGTCTGTCTTGACAATAACATTGAAAATGGATAGCAGTTCTTTTTAAAGGGCTTTTTGATTTGTGTGACATTTATATAATCTAATTTTGCTGTTTAAATTATTAGTATTTATATAGGTGTGGCATGCATTATTGAGAAGATATGAAACAAAGTTAATATAAAAATTGTTATTTGGAAACGATTAATTTTCAGAAAAACATGCATATTGCTGTTTCCATACCTTCTTTTGGCCTCTGGTTATTTCCACTTACCTTTATTTACTTTTTTATCATCCCACTCTTTCTTTCTCATTCTTCTTTGGTAGGAATCTTTCAGACTAAATGCAAAGTGTAAGAATGATCTAGTGAGACTCTGTCTCCCAGGAAATTTTAGTATCTGGCATTAATCTAAAAGTCACCCCAGCCCTGAAAGCTTTCTATTCTCCCAAAACATTGGTCCAGCCTCCAACGTATAATCCTTATGAGATCTTTTGTCAAAGTTCTCTTACTAAAATGGAAGCCCAATGATAGTTTCCTTGTTAGTTCAGGTAGTGCTGGGATCTTCTTCAGTGTTGTACTAAAGACACGTTCTGACTTATATTGACTCTACTTAGAAATCTTTATGCTGTATATCTCATGTGGGTTTTTCAGAGCTAAGCTTCCTCTTCTGACATAGGATTTCTGCAGCTAACCCCCTAAAAGTGTCCCTAACACATCCTCTGGCTGACTTTCTAAATCATAACCTTCATTCTGATCATTTTCCATCCATGTTCTACTGTCACATGTCCCAAATACAAAATGTTATCTCAGGGTAACTCTTCCATTTGCTTCTCTTATCTCTCCGTTTCTTTTACATAAACATGTACTTTTCTCAAAGATTTTCTCTCTTCTTCATTCCTGACTCCAAACTCCCCATTTCTAACTTTTTCTTGTTTAGAGTTATTGTGGTATGCCTATTTCAGGGGTTAGGGAGCCAGCCCTATATTTATTTCATAATTCAGGTAAGTGCTTTGAGAGAGCAGATGTTTTATAGTAAATAAAAGTGAGGATAATCCTAGTTTTTATTCTAAGTAGATTAGCATTCTTTTCAGTATTGTGAATTCAGTGATTTGCATAGAAACATTTTTAACAGATGACAGAAATAGACATTGATAGGAAAAACCAGTTATAGACCTACTATTGACATAGCCTTAAACCCTGGGATGAGGAACATTTTGAGACTAGAGAGAGATTCATGTAACTGTGTTTTAAAATTTTTCCAAGAACTTAAATGGCATATTTTATGTAATTACTAAGAACAAAGTAACTTAAAAAAGGTAATTTTAGGGGCTCGAAGGAGGTTCTTCCCTCTTCCTACCACTCAGTGAATATTTAGGGAATGCCTGGTGTGCATGCTGGCAGTGACTTCAGTACTGTCGATGTAGGGGGTAAAAGGGGAAAGAATCTTAAAAGATGGAATAATCTTATACTCCCACAAATAAAATTACAATAGACGGTAAGAAGAAGAGAATCTTGGGACTAGGAAAAGTATATTTTAATGGCCCCTGAGCTGGCGTGGAGGGTTAGGAAAAGCATTCTATTCTACTTGGCACATTACTTTGAAACTGTTGACCTAGCCTCTAGGTAGACTTTAAGTTCTTCAGAAGCAGGAGCCATGCTTTTTGTCTTTCTGTGCAGTCCTTGACATCTAGTAGCTTAAAAAAAAATCTATTGAATCTTAAGTGTGTATGTTGTAGAAATTTTAGATATTTGCCATTACTGAATTTGTATCTTGTGGAGCAAAAAAGATAAAAACAGCTTTATTTCCTAAATGAACTTATCTTTCTGTAGATTCGTGGTACTTTAAAGAGTTGGACCAAGTTGTGGTGTGTTTTGAAACCTGGGGTGCTACTGATTTATAAAACCCAGAAAAATGGTCAGTGGGTAGGAACAGTCCTTCTGAATGCCTGTGAAATCATTGAGCGTCCATCAAAAAAGGACGGCTTTTGTTTCAAACTTTTTCATCCTTTGGAGCAGTCTATTTGGGCAGTGAAGGTAAGCACTCTGTTATATAGGTGAAAGGTAAAGATGACAATCTGTAAGTAGAACAGAGATAAATCAATTAACCTAATGATTGCTAACCTCTGCAAGCACTTCTAAATTTGCTTGTTTTCAAGTGCATTATTCCTCTTTTTTCTCTACCCACAATGAATTGTGTACCAAAAGGCTTTGTTTACCTTTAAGATCTAACTTAAGGGATCTTAAGCCACCTGGGTGACTCAGTCAGTTAAGTGTCCGACTTCAGCTAGGGCATGATCTCGTGGTTCGTGAGTTCGAGCCACACATGGGGCTTTGTGCTGACAGCTCAGAACCTGGAGCCTGCTTCAGATTTTGGGTCTCCCTGTCTCTCTGCCCCTCCCCCGCTTGCATGTGAGCAAGCTGTCTCTCTTTCTTTCAAAAATAAATAAGCATTAAAAAAAACTATAAAAAGATCTGACTTAAAATTTTTTGAGGAAAATGTTTCCCAAATTTACTCTGTACCTTATAAACTCTTATCCATGGGGATTCAGTTTGTAGTGTGTTTTTAAAAATTTGCAATTACCAGAGCACCTGGGTGGCTCAATTGGTTAGGTGTCCAACTTCGACTCAGTTCATGATCTCACAGTTTGTGGATTCAAGCCCCACGTCAGGATCTGTGCAGATAGCTCAGAACCTAGAGCCTGCTTCAGATTCTGTGTCTTGCTTTCTCTCTGCCCCTGCCCCACTCATGCTCTCTCAAAAATAAATAAAAATATTTAAAAAATAATAAAACTAAAAAGCATAACTGTGATTACTCCTGTGTTATAAAAGCAGAAACTTAATCAGGAAAATAGAAACGCCTTATTTGATTAACTACCAAGGGATTCTACAAACATTAGACATTCCATATATGCTAACGGAAATAATGAATTTAGTTAAATTCTTACAAAGCAATAATTGTTTCAGTTTCTAAGAAGATCAGTTATACATGAATAAAGGGTTTAGATGTTCTCCCTTAAGGAAAACCACCTAATTGAGATATAGAGTTAAAATAGCTTCAGCTTAAATTTTTTTTTTTTTTTAGTGTTGCTTAATTAGGCAGTATACATACACCTCTTAAAAACCTGGACTTTTAACCTTTATTTCAGTAGTCTGTAGTCATACCAGGAATAAATTTAGGATTAGAGAGTTAGTTTCATTCTGGAATTAGGTACTTCCCATAGGGAAAGAATTTAACCCATAGAACCTCTGTTAACTATATATCATGTGATTCTCAAGTAAGAAAAAAAAAAAAACACTTTCAAAACCTTTTATGTACAGTATTCTTTACTACTACTCTTAGGAATTGTAAGGATTATAATGAATTTTAATTTTTTTTTTAATGTTTTATTTATTTTTGAGAGCATGTGACTGGGGAAGGGGACAGAGGATTTGAAGCAGGTTCTCTGGTGACAGCAGAAGAGAGCCTGATGCAGGGCTTAAACCCACAAACCGTGAGATCATGACCTGAGCCAAGGTCGAATGTTCAACCAGCTGAGCCTCCCAGGTGCCCCAGAATTTTAATGAATTTTTAAATTATTAAAAATTTTTAATGTCAAATTTATTGAATTCCCAATACTGGTGGGAGGAAAATTTGCACAATTAGACAATCATCAGAATATTTTCCACAAGCAAAATATGCTCAGGATATTGTTTAAACACCTTCAAAGTCAGTATCTATGATTAAGTAAAAGTAATATTTGTGAGTTTTTACTTTGTATTAGGGACTCGAACATTTTATATGGACTCTTTTTTAATTCTCATACCTTTAAGGAGGTTATAATTTTCCCCTGTTACCTAGGTAGAGAGATTAAGGCCTAAAGAGTTTACCTAAGAAATTTTTCTAGCATGGAACCAAGCTTGAAACCTAAGTAGTGTGACTAGATCCTACTCTGTGATGGTTCTAGGAACTGGCCCATAAATTAGAAAGCTATTTGAAAATACCCAAGGGATATTACAGTATTAGTTAAAATTATATTGACTTTTTCTACTTTTTCATTTTGAATCTTTACCTTCTTTATGTTTATGCTTCTCAAATTCATTTTATTCTTTGATCTTACAACTTAAAATTATGCTTTACTATCAAAATTATACTGTGAGTTCATCCTCAGATTTCCTTCCCAAAGAATAACTGCGTTCACCTAAGATTAGCCTTGGTGATACTAATTATTTAGGGTTCTTGGTGTTGTATACTCCTAAAACAAATAACCCTCGCCAACAACAACAAAGAAAAAATTCCATTTTATTTCTGGAAAAATAAAATTAACTGTTTTAGTTAGTATTTCATAACAAGTATTTTATAACAAGTATATCAATGGTTGTAAAACAGATTTTTTTTCCCCCTAGACCTATTCAAAATTCATTTCTCTTTTTCTTATAAATTTTATTTCCAGGTTTTTTTTTAGGCCTCTAGAAATTTAATGTTACTTAGTATCTTTTGGATGGAAATTCTCTGTTAAATTAAACTTTGGTCTAGTATAATAAGTTGCAGGTTTTTCTTTACTATGTGAACCATAAATAGAGATCATGTTTAATGATAGCTCTAAGTTGTTCAACTTTCTATAAAAGATGTATACTTGTTGGAGGAGGAAAACTTTCCTTAATACTTACTTTCTTAAAACTTTACCTGATATTTTTTAAGCGTAAAATTAAAGCTTGTTTGCTTTTAGATTATTATAGGTAATAGTGGATAATATGAAGTTGAGATTTCATAATATGAACTGTACACCTTTTCTTTGCTTTGCTTTGCTTTGCTTTGCTTTGCTTTGCTTTGCTTTGCTTTGCTTTGCTTTGCTTTGCTTTGCTTTTCAGGGCCCCAAAGGCGAAGCAGTTGGATCTATAACTCAACCCTTACCTAGCAGTTACTTGATCATCCGAGCTACTTCAGAGTCAGATGGTAAATACAGATTTTGATGGATTTGATTTTGGCCCTCATTTTTCTTAAGGGTTTATTTTATATGCCACTGTGTATTTTCCTTTGGGGAAAATCTCTTTAGTATGGTACTGGAGCAGACATATTGTAATTATAAATTGCTTATAATACTAAAAACATTAACTTTGTAGACAAAAATCTGATAGGAAGGAAGCACTGTATAATTGAGTGATGAATTAGCGAAAGTTTTCTTCTTCATCCTCCATTGATATGTTAACACTCTTTTTACTTTCATTAGTGTTCTTCGTGGTAACTCACTAGGTTTTGTACTTTTAGAGGTACATTTAATATTATTTGTATTTTGTTATTAAAAATTAACATTTATACACGTATATACTGTTCTGAGTTTTTTTATATAGAAGATTCAAATACAAATTTTTCTGCGGTTAGTAACTTAATATTTAATTCTTGAAGCAATATGGAGAGGGTAAAACTTATTTAATGGGAAAGCCACACTAACTTTAAAACCTTAATAATTGATAATGGATTTCTTCCTCACTTTTATGTTTTATAGTTTAGACTAACTTAACCTAGGGGATCTTGTAACCTTTTAGAGTTTACTTTTACCTGATGACTGTTTTTAAAATGTCATAGGCACAAGCTTATGTTATGAAAAGCGTTTTACTTGGCTGATGTTTCCAACAGATATGGAAATATATATATACATTTTAAGAGCAACTAACTTTTATTTTGCTAATACAGTCTAAATTTTAATTTAAAAATAAAGTTACTAGTGTTTCTACTAATGCGGCAGTTAATGACAATATTGTACAGGCATTTATTTCCATGACTTCAGATTTTCGTACCTATAAGTAAAGTGGATGGTAGTAAACCTGAGGTTAGACCTTTTATCAGAAACAAAATATTAATTTGATAAGTTTATTTATAGTAGAAGCATAACCCCTTTAGTGTATTTTCTGTACCTTCGTTGGTAGCTACGAATTATACTACCTGTTAATGTTCTAAGATTTTAGAAGTAAAGTGTGTTTATTTTAGATTAGGTGTACTTTCTAATGTGTTCTATATACTGTTCATTTACCCGTGGTTTTTAGATGCTTGGTCTGTGAAAAGCACTTGCTAAACTGAAAAACTGCATTAAAAAATCCTTGCAAGATTTTATATTCACGTGAACTTTTCCAGTGAATGTTTCTCAAAGAAATAATAGTATGCTTAAAGGTTAACAGTATTAAATTAAGATGGATCCTTGTTTTTATAGTTTCTTGAACTATATTGCTTATGAATCTGTGTTCTTCTAGGAAGGTGCTGGATGGATGCTTTGGAGTTGGCCTTGAAATGTTCTAGTCTTCTTAAACGTACAATGATCAGAGAAGGAAAGGAACATGACCTGAGCATTTCATCAGAGAGCACACATGTGACTTTGTATGGCTTATTACGTGCTAACAATCTCCACAGTGGTGACAACTTTCAGTAAGTAGCTATTGCCACTAATTTGGTGATTTTTAGAAGGGACGATGTTATTCACTAGGTTAGTGGCAGGCCTAGAATTTTTGTGGTGTATCTAGAATTGAACGTGGCTGTTTTCTTCCCATTATATGGTCTGAGGCTTGATTTACCACTTGCTTATTTGCTGTAATAAGGTATAGAAAGTTATTTCCTTTATTTCAGCTAATGTGAAGTAGTTGTTCTTTCCCAAATACATACCTTTTCTTTATACATGGTGTTCCCTCCATTAAGAATGTTTTCTAGGGGCGCCTGGGTGGCTCAGTCGGTTAAACGTCCGACTTCGGCTCAGGTCACGATCTCGCGGTCCGTGAGTTCGAGCCCCGCGTCAGGCTCTGGGCTGACGGCTCAGAGCCTGGAGCCTGCTTCCAATTCTGTGTCTCCCTCTCTCTCTGCCCCTCCCCTGTTCATGCTCTGTCTCTCTCCGTCTCAAAAATAAATAAACATTAAAAAAAAAAAATTAAAAAAAAAAAAAAAGAATGTTTTCTAGTCCTCTTTGCTCTTTTTTCCTTTCATAATCCCATTCTTCAAGACCAATCTCAAATATTACATCAAATGCAAAGCGTTTCTTGCTTCACAATAGTGAGATATAATCTGTTCTTCTATTACTGTTTTGTAGCACTTTTTAATTTTTTTGGTAATGGCACTTGACTTGCTCTGCTTGGTATTTGTGGAATGCTCCTATTATACCACAGGTGTTTCAAGTTGGAACTGTATCCTATTTGTGGTTTTATACCCTGAAACATTCATTGTAGTTAATACTAAAAAAAAATATTTCCCTGGGGAAACAAACAAGTACCTTAGTTGAGGTTCAAATCTCTTTTGTTGCTTTGGAGGGAAACTTAGACTTCTCCTCCCTTGCCCCAGTATTCAGCCTCTGCTCTGAAGCTACTTATTCCCAACAGCACTGAGGTTACTTTCCTCAAAGTTAGGAATGGGTGTTTGTTGGCGCCCCTTCGCAAGATTTTTCCCTTGAAGCTCTTCAGCTGTAAATAGTCCATTGTTTTTATTGAATACCAGATAATTTTTAAATGCTCTTGTGTATGAGACATACACTTTGCTGTATTATTCACTGCATTATAAATAGGGAGATGTATCAGATATGATCCTAAATTTGAATCCAGTGCAACAGCATACTAGCTTTCTGATCCTGGAGAGATGTTTTATTTTGTTTAAAACCTATAAAATGTCAGGCAACTATAAATGATAGGAAGATAAGAATGACACAAACAACCAAAGGAGAGATGCTGTAGGGTAATACAGGATCAGGAGAATTTAGAAGTTGGAAAGATAACATTCAGCTAGGGAATCAGAGGGAAGATCAATATAACAGATTTTTACAAAGGTAGTCAACATAGCAATATTTTCATTTGGCTGTATGACAAAACATGAGCTAAGAGATGCAGAGACCAGGTAAGTGGAGGCCTACCTTTGAGATACATAGTCTGCCTAGATGTAAGGGACAGGGAGTGGGTAAAATTAAAGAAGATTACAAGTTTTAAATCTCAGTGACCGATAAGATGATAGTAAAATAAAGGACCATGTTGGGAGATGATAATATATTAAATAATTGCACATGTTGAGGATGCATTGGCCCCAGGACATATAAGTGATATCAGCCAAGCGTTTAAAAAAACATAGGTCTGGGGGCGCCTGGGTGGCGCAGTCGGTTAAGCGTCCGACTTCAGCCAGGTCACGATCTCGCAGTCCGTGAGTTCGAGCCCCGCGTCGGGCTCTGGGCTAATGGCTCAGAGCCTGGAGCCTGTTTCCGATTCTGTGTCTCCCTCTCTCTCTGCCCCTCGCCCGTTCATGCTCTGTCTCTCTCTGTCCCAAAAATAAATAAACGTTGAAAAAAAAATTATTAAAAAAAAAAATAAAAAACATAGGTCTGAAGCTTATTTTGCATGCATGGGTTTGAAAATCAAACAAATGATGGTGAAGGCTTGAAACTGGCAAGCCTGCCAAAGGGGAGAGAGGACAGAGAAAATAAAAGAGGGTCAAGGAAGATTAAAATATCTTACAGATGGAAGGAAGTAAAAAGGATCAGAGAGCTCAAAAAGTCAAACCACAGTTACATGGAACCGAGGCACTAATACCATTTTACGAAAAATAATTGTCACAATCCTGTAATGCAGAGAAGTCACACAAGGTGAAGATTATACAAGGCCACTGGATTTGTCAACTAAGCTGTCATTAGTTACCTTTAAAGGAACAGATTCAGTGGATTTAGGGGAGTGAAAACCAGATCATGAGAGATTAAAGAGTGAATAGGTGATAAGAAAGCAGAGATAGCAATTTTAGACTGCTATTTTAAAATATATGATTATAGGGGTGCCTAGATGGCTCAGTGGGTTAAGCATCTGACTCTTAACTGGCTCAGTTCATGATCTCCCGGTTTGTGAGATCGATCCCTGCATTGGGATCTGTGCTGACAGCGAGGAACCTACTTGGGATTCTCTCTCCCTGTCTCTCTCTCCCTCCCTCACACGCATGCTTGTTTTCTCTCAAAATACATAAAGAAACTTAAAAAAAAAACATGATTATAAAGGGAAAGAAAGAAAATAATTACCATAAGAATGAATTTCTATTAGAAATTCTTTGGTTAGAATCCAAATGAAGATTTTGGAAAAAAGTTTTTTTAATTTTTTGAAGCTGGAAGTGAGTTTTTTTTATAAGTTCTATTTTGTACAGATTATTAACCCTAATCACTGTATGAATAGGGTGGGGGTAGCATCTTAATCTGTTTAGGCTATAGGTTTATTTCCATAAACTGAAATATCCATTTCTAGTTCTCCTTGGATTTTTTTTCTCAAGATTAAACCTGTGAGTCAAGTATTAAAGAGATATAATTACTTAGCTTTTACATTTTCACTCACTTCAAGTGACTTTGGAGAGACCTTTACAGAGGGAAAGTCATAATTCATTTGAGTTCACTTGAGAATCTGATAATCTTGACTTGGAAGTTTTTCTTTAGGCCAGAAGTGACAGGTTGATTCAAGTGATGATGTTTGTAAAACCAAGAAAAGAATCTAGCAAGCCAAAGTCCAAAACTTTACTGTTGGAAGCTTTTTGCCCTAAATGGTAAAGAGGCAGAGTTCAGAGTGTTCTTTTGTAATATTTCCCAGGTTATTTAATTTCTCTGTGCTTTTATTTATTAATCTGTAAAGTGAGAATAATAATATTACTTATAGGATTATTTTTGAGTGTTAACTGAGTAAAATTATCTAAAACACAGAACAGTGCCTGACACTCAAATTCTGAATAAATGTTCGTATCATTCTGATTTATAAATTAAATATTCTTTGTCTCTTTTATTCTTTCTCTTAATATTTCTTACCTTCAAGGTTAAATGATAGTGAAATTGAACGGCAGCATTTTAAGGACCAAGATATGTATTCTGATAAATCTGATAAAGAAAATGATCAAGAACATGATGAGTCTGACAATGAGGTGATGGGGAAAAGTGAAGAAAGTGACACAGATACATCCGAAAGGCAAGATGACTCTTATATCGAACCAGAGCCCGTGGAGCCTTTAAAGGAGACTACCTACACTGAACAGAGCCATGAAGAACTAGGAGAGGTAAAAGTCTATGATTTTCAGGGGTATTGGTTTTCTGATCCTTGGAAATTTTCAGCTGAAATTGAAGACGTTTCTTTGACCTATTGCTTATTTTTCTGAAAGAGAACATTTAGATGATACCTATTTTATTTTAAAAATTGCATACACGTGAAATATCTCAGGATTTATAAATAACATGTGTACTCACATGAGTACCAATAAATTCTATTAAATTTAAAGTTTACATTTTCTTCAGGTTTGTTTTTGAAATCGGATAGTACTAGTACTCCTTAATGTCATTGCCAGGTACAATGTGAATTGCAAGGACACATGAGTTTGTAATGTTCCTGGTATTGCTAATTCTTAGAAGTGAATATGGTATAAAATAATTGCATGTAATATTTTTTGTAATGAATTCTTTGTGTATATCCTTCACTTTGATGTCTCTTAACGACTACTCTTTTTACCTAAGTTTTATAGCTATAGACTTATTACCTAATGAGTTATTTCCCATTTTAAGAATGCTTGGGATAGTCTTACAGAGTATGCATATTTCAACATCAGCTGTTTTTTTACATATCTAATGTGTCTGAGATAAATATGATATTTGAGTATTTTTTTGTCAATTGCTAAAGGCAGGTGAGGCTTCTCAAACAGAAACTGTGTCTGAAGAAAACAAAAGCCTTATCTGGACACTGTTGAAACAAGTCCGTCCTGGCATGGACCTGTCCAGGGTGGTTCTGCCGACATTTATTTTGGAACCTCGTTCTTTCCTGGATAAACTTTCAGATTATTACTATCATGCAGATTTCTTATCTGAGTAAGTAGATTCTCATTTCTTAAAATGAAAGATGCTTCATGGTTTTAAGAGATTTTTTTTTTTCAGAGTGCAAATTACAGTGGTTATGCCTTACCAAAACTAGGCTCGAATGAGATGTCCCTCTCTCCACCAGTTCTACAGTTGACCTTAATAAGAAGAATACTTAATATTTTGCTCTAATGTTTCCATTTATGCAATTGAATTGAGAGATCACAAGTGTGAGGAAGACAAGGAGTCTATCCCTTACCTGACAGACAGTACTGCTTTCACAGGCTCCCTGACCTGTTTCCTGACCTAACATGGGGAGAGGTGGTAGCGTTCCTTGTTCTCCCCCAGGTCACCTAAGCTCTTGTTCAGGTCCCATCCTGGGGCTTGTGCTTCTGTTTGTGCTTATCCTGTCTGCATGCTCATGAGGGATGTGCTGCTTTCCACAACCAGAATGCTCCGCCAGTTGCTGGCTCACGGTATAAATCCCCACTTTCATCTTTGCTTTGTTTCCTGCCAGCTGATCCTGGATGTAATTCTGGGGAAGGCAGGCGTAAAGGAGGTGGAGGAGAAGCTGCCGATCTCTTTCCCAGCGGTTTCTTGGGGAACCAGTAAAAGACATCAACTTTATGTATACCTTTCCAGGTTTCACATGCTGCCCCCATTCCAGCTGTTCAAGACACTGCGTGTTCTGAGATGCTAGGTTCTGGTCCTGTGGCCTGGCTTTTAGATTCTTTATCAATATCTGTATTAAATTTATTAGTTGCTTTATTAGGCTATTAGTTGCATTAGTGAACGTTGCAAAAGTCATAAGCTGAATCAAAAGATAATTGAAAAACTGGGAGATTTTTTGCAAATTAAGGCATACCCAAATTGTTAATCTCCCTAAAATAAAAAGGGCTCTTAGAAATTTAATGAAAATGACCAGCAACCTAATAGAAAAAGGAGTAGAGGAAATGACCAGGTACTTCAAAGATGAATAGAAACAGTGCTTAAATGTGTAAATCTCACTCAAAATATGAAAAGTGCAGATTCAAACAAAAAGATAGTTTTTTATCAATCACAGTGACCAAAATCCAAAAGCTTTTATACCCCAGTTTTGCTTTATATATTATAGTTCTTTTATCTGTGTAGAAATTCATTTCTCTGAGTGTGAGGCAGGTTCCTATGAATGACAGTGAGATCTTCCTGAGAGATGCCCACTTTCCTAAGTTGAAAGGTTGCAGTTTTCTGGCTACACACCCTGTTGCCAAGGCTCTGTGGGGCAGCAGGCACTTGTATGCTGCTGCTGCTGCCACTGCTGCGTGACACAAACCAGCACAGTGCTTTTGAAAAGAACCTGGCAGTATTTACCAGAATTATAGATGCAGTCAGTCCTTTGATCCAGTAATTCTGCTTCTGGGAAAACCCCTACAAATATATCTCTACATATTCAAAATGACATATATACAAGATTGTTGTGGTAGGGCTTGTAATAGAAAAAGATTAGATAACTCAAGTATTGAGCCACAGTTGACTGGTGGGTTAATAACATACGGTGCATTTACATATAAGGAAGAAGTTTGTAACCTGATTTGGAGGGATCTCCAGGATTATGTGTATGTGAAAAAGGCAAGGTACAAAAAATACGTGGTTTGTTTCCTTTTTTATCTTTTTAAGAAAAGGAAGGCTGCGTATTTTTATTTGCTTCTTTATGCTTAAAGAAAACTGTTTATTAAAAAAAGCTAAAAAAAGAAAAAAGTTGCCTATATGGAGAGATGGGACAATAGCAAGACATGTATACTTCTCCATGTTGCTTTGCGTTCTGAACTATGCAAATACAAAATAGTAAGTAAAGTTGAATAGCAAGAGAATTTAAATCAAGATAGGAAGAGCACAGAAGGTTGCTACTCCCTTTAAGAGCAGCGTTTCAACTTGGCACAGTGGTCAGTAAACCTAAGCCTGGTCTCTTCCATTTCACACTTCATCTTCAAAAATCACACACTGAACCTTCAGACATGCTTGAAGGAAGTAATAAATAATTAAATTGTAATATACGTATGTATGAAGTTGTAATGTATATATTATATATATTATATATGCATACATATACATGTGAAAACTCAGAATTCACTTCTGACATCTACAATGTTTTGCAACATTTTGCAGTTTAGAGCAATAGCAAAAGGGTAAAGGGGTAGCTGAGTCATGGCTCCTAAAAATTTCTTTAAAATGAAAATTGTTCTTTGATTATCTGTTACAGTGATCGAATTTATTTACTCTGGAAAATCATTCGGTAGCACTTAGGGTTGAAGGCTAAAAATAGCACTGATTGACTTAAATTATCTTAAAACTTCCGTATTTGTGATTTGAAACTTCTCTATTTTGTAATAGGAGCTCAAGGGACATACGGTCCTATTCCTAGGGGGGCATTTTGCATGGGAGAGGCTAATATCAACCTCTTGTCCTCCCTTCTTGTAGGGCAGCATTCACCAGTTATCCTTAATCTCCTCTAATTGAAATAAGTGACTGAGAATAGACTAAATCAAATGAACGTAATCCTTCTCAGACATATGGAACTGAACACCTCTCACAAAATTGTTGATGACGCTGCTTGGCCATTGCCCCATCATTGCAAATACTAGGCATCACACAGTTCTTGAATCTCAAAATACATTCATTTTTTTCAATCATAATTTCTCACAGAACCCCTGGCAATATCTAAGGCTCTCCAGAACCCCACTTGAAAAACCTTGGTTTGGAGAGTTTGTAAAAACTACTTGAACAAAGACCTGGGCAGTGTATCAAACAATGGTAAAAATGGGGAGAAAAATAACCAGATTATGAAAAGTTATTCTTACAGACTGATTTACATGGTTGTTTTTGCCATCCGTTTTAAATATGACTTATACTTGGGGCGCCTGGGTGGCTCAGGTCATGATCTCACAGTTGGTGAGTTCAAGCCCCGCGTCGGGCTCTGTGCTGACAGCTCCGAGCCTGGAGCCTGCTTTGGATTCTTTGTCTCCTTCTCTCTCTGCCCCTCCTCCACTTGTACTCTGTCTCCCTCTGTCTCTCAAAAATAAATAAATGTAAAAAAAAAATTTTTTTTTTAAATATGACTTACACTTTCCAATCATATACTCAGTTGGTTTACTTGATAAATACGAGGGAGAATTTGTGAGATATTTTGTAAAAGTTTTGTTTATACCATTTGGTGTTTTTAGGGCTGCTCTTGAAGAAAATCCTTACTTCCGTTTGAAGAAAGTAGTGAAATGGTATTTGTCAGGATTCTATAAAAAGCCAAAGGTAATGTTTATATTTAACTTTCTTTAGCCTAATATGAGTTCTTTATTTTTTATGTTATCTTTATCTATTGAAAAGCATTTCAGGGCCTCTGAGTTAGAAAAATTGTAAAATACTTAATCATTTAGACCTATATTATGATTGAAGTTACTTCACTTTATTTCCTGTCTCTACTGTGAAATTTTATAAGGATAAGAGTTAAACCCATTTTGACTGAGAGGAGGTGAAATCTTCCAGATGTGTATTTTGAAACTTGTATGTTTTTTTCCTAGGGACTGAAGAAACCTTACAATCCTATACTTGGTGAGACTTTCCGTTGTTTATGGATTCATCCCAGAACAAACAGCAAAACATTTTATATTGCTGAACAGGTATTAGAAGTGCATGTTACAGAAACAAAACTGGTTCGGAAGTTACTGGGATATTTTAATAAAAAATATTAACTCAGTAAACTCACTGTTGATTATTAACCTTTCTTATTAGTGAACATTTGGTAAGCACTTAATCTTTTAGTACTGAATATGACTAAATACCATACTTATAGGTATTACTATTATAGTCATGGAATCCTGTGACCAAAAATAAATATGTTTCCTGAGCCATCCTCCCACACCGGTTTTGTTTTCTTTGTGACCAAAATTGTTCAGTGGTTTCCTATTTCCTAAATCAGATTTTACACCTGTCTGTCTGGCATTCAAGGTCTTCCTTATCTTTCTAAATTAATCTCAAATTTGATGCCTTTCTGAACCTTTGGCAGTAGTTAGACCTGTCTGTGCATTTACAACTAGGTAACCTGATATTGTACTTTTTGGCCTCATTATTTTTAAATTTAATTCTCCCATCCCAATATTTCTTCTTGGCTATTTTCCATCTAAATCAATCCTAACCTACTCCTCTTTCATGATCCAAGTGACTACACCTCCCACTGATTTCTCTCTTCTATATTCTTTTTTGTGATATCCATTAAGCTGTTATTTTAACACTTCCATTAACTTTTTACAGAATATTTATTTCCCTAATCAAATTGTCAGCTCCTCGAAGGAATGCCCTTCTTACAAATCTCTCTTTTTGTTGTATATATAGTAGGCAGTCAAAAATATTTCTTAATTTTGGGACTGCTGGCTGGCTCTGTCAGTGAAGCATGCAACTCTTGATCATAGGGTTGTGAGTTCGAGCCCCACGTTGAGGGTAGAGATAAAATATCTTTAAAAATTTTTTCTTGGTTTTAATCTTTCATTAATTTAGACATATATACATCTTACTCATGATTCTCAATCTTTCCCCCGTCCTCCCCTTTACTCCCTGGTCCTGAGGAATATGACATTATTTCTCAATAACAGTGACCCCTTACTATAATAATTCTCATGAGAAGTTCAAGAAGAATGAGGAGACTATGTTTCATTTGAAAAACCTTCCTCTTCCCTAGAAATTTTGATATACGTTTCGAATTGAAACCACTTATCTGTGTATTAATTTTTTAATTGATTATGCCACCTTGCATTTTAGTTCATTGTAAATCCTTGCTAAATTGAGAAGCTTGAGAAGAGTTTGATTTTAGCTTTGACTCATTTCAGAAAACATAATGTGTATATATTTTGAAAATATTAGATGACTGAAGTATCATTTGTTAAAACTTTTGTTTCCTACAGCCTATTAAGTAATCTATACAAAAATAGCCACTGTATTAGTTATCCATTGCTGTATAAATAAATGGCTTCCAAAATTTAATGGCTCAAAACAAACATTTATTAGCTCCTGCAGTGTGGTTTAGCAATCTGAGAGCTGCTTAGCTGGGTGGTTCCGGCTCAGGGTCTCTCATGAGTGTGCAATCAAGATGTCAGCCAGCTTTGCAGTCATCTAAAGACTTAACTGGGCTGAAAGATATCACTTCCAAGCTCATCACATGGCTTTTGACAAGAGCACTCAGTTCCCCTCCACATGGGCTTCTCCGTAGAGTTGTTCACAACAGGGAAGCTGGCTGCTCAGAGCTAATGATCTGAGAGGGAGAGAGAGAGACCAAAACGGATGGTGCATTATAGCTTAATTTCAGAAGTGACATACTATCACATTTATACAAACTTGGTTTGGTACACTGTAAGAGGAGCCTATCTAATGTGTGAATACCAGAAGGTGGTTTCCTTGGGAGATATCTTGGAGGCTGATTACTATAATCAATGTTTAATTTTACCACTTACCAAACATTTCTTCTTACTAATTATTAGAGTATACGGTTAAGACTTGAACTTTGACAATAGTACAATAATATGCTTATGTTACTGTATTTTATGTTTTTTTCTGTGTTCAATAGGTATCCCATCATCCACCAATATCTGCCTTTTATGTTAGTAACCGAAAGGATGGATTTTGCCTTAGTGGTAGTATCCTGGCTAAGTCCAAGTTCTATGGTGAGTTTCCCCTTGTCTCAGTCTGCCCCCTTTTTCTGGAAGGTAGTATTTCCTGGTGAGCTTTTCTATGGACAATGTCTTGGGTTGTTTTCAGAAAGGAATTTATATGTCATTTTAAGTATCATCTTTACTTGGATAATGGCCTTTCCTTTGTGGTGTTTTTCTTTGCCCATTCATAAGTATGATTCATAAATAGGACTCATTTTGTATAAGTATTCATCACATACGTGTAAATTCATCACAAGCACCATTTATCAAAAGATGGAATGACCACTCTTAGCCATTTTAGTACATAATGTATTTTTTTGCTTTTAGTCCCACTGAAGATTTTTGTTCTATCTCATTGTATCTGAGGGGTTGGTCATTCTATTTAGTCTTTGAATAAAGAGGGAAAGAATACAAGTACAGTTAGAATACTTGGTCCAGGGTCAGTCAGTAATGATCATTAGTCTTGGGCCAAACAACATACTAATAAAAACTTTCATTAGTATAAGGGAAAATAGTGAAATATGGTTATTATAGGAAACCTTAATCTAAAAACTATGACAATTCAAATAAGCAAATGGCTAAAGCTGTATACTAGTAGAACGTATTTAACCTTAATTGCTTTTGTTTTTTAAAATTAATTTTTAAGTGGAGAAAAATCAATGAATTAAATGAAGAATTTTAAATCTGAGAGAAAAAAATAATTATTGTAAGATTGGGGAAATATGTCAGCAGAAACCAAAGGTCTGGTTACCTGATAGAGTGGAGAACCATAGATGGGTCTATAACAGGGAAATCTAACAATAGTTTTTGATAAAAGAATATGGTATATGCCTTTATATTTCTTTAAAGTATCCTTTATGTGTTTTGATGTTTGGGGTCTTGATTTTGGTTTTTTGCCTAGTTTTACATTTTGCTTGTTTTAGAAGATGATTTTTTTCTTCTATATTTAGGTGGTTCTCTCCCTGCTTACCTCCCGTCCCTCCATGCCCCTCCTCTGATTATAACATAAATGACTTTTATGAGCATGTGTTCTGTACCTGAGAAATTTTTATGAGTACCAAGTGCATCGCTCACTTTCTGGGATTACTTCAGCAGTTAGCCTTGTTTTTTTTCTGTTACATTATGATTTGTGTATATCAGAGCTATCTGTTACTTTATATTTTGAAAGAATTTACAAAATTCAGGCCTTGTAGGGGCACTTTTTTGATAACTTCCTCCTTCCATTTGGTTTTTGAATTGTTTGTATAGAAACTGCTAGGTGCGTTGATAGTTTATATTGGTCTAGGAATTAATTTTTTTTTAGTCTAAATGAAGCTAAACTTAAAGACATCTGGATAGAGTGTATTCCTCTTAACATGTAGTTTGTTTCTTTCTTGACGTTTTGTAGTTAATGAAAAATTTAAAAGGTGTGTTATGCAAGCATTAAGTACAGTTGAGTGGCTATATGAATACATTTTAAGACAAAGTATTAACAGAGTAAGAACATTTCATGAAGATAAAAGGTTTAATACATCACCATAATAATAAATGTATGCCTAACCACAGAACTTCAAAATACATGAAGCAAAAATAGAATTAAGGGGAGAAATAGGCAATTCTAGAACCATGGTTGTACACTAACACTCTCTCCTCAGCAAATGAGACAACTAGATAAAATATAAGCAAAGACATGTAAGACCTGAAGAACACTATCAACCACCTTACCCTAATTGATATTTCTAAAATATTACAACAGACAATGACAGAATACACATTAGTTTTAAGTATATATATGGTATTTTCACTGGTAATGATGATATTTGATGACAAAATAACTCTCCATAAGTTTTAAAAGAATTCATACAGAGTATGTTTTGCAACCTCAAGGAAATAGAATTAATTTTTTTTTAATGTTTATTTTTGAGAGAGATGGAGACAGAATGCGAGTGGGTTAGGGGCAGAGAGAAAGGGAGACACAGAATCCGAAGCAGGCTCCATCCAGGTTCCGAGCTGTCAGCACAGAGCCCGACATGGAGCTCTTAACTTACGAGCTGTGAGATCATGACCTGAGCCAAAGTCGGACGCCACCCAGGCGCCCCTCAAGGAAATAGAATTAGAAACGAATAATAAGATACCAAGTTAAACTCCAAATATTTAGTAATCCAACAACACACTTCTACAATCCATGGACCAAAGAAGAAATCGCAAGAGAAATTAGAAAATATTTTAAGCTAAATGATAATAAAAATGCAACATACCAAAATTGGTGAGATGCGGCAAAAGTGGTGTTGAGAGGGGAATTTATAACTTTAAGTTAGAAAAGAAGAAAGATCTAAATCAGTGATCTACCCTATGAAATTAGAAAAAGAGCTAATTAAGTTCAAACTAAGTAGAAGAAAGGAAATAATGAAGAGCAGACGTCAGTGTAGAATGTAGACAAACAGTACAGAAAATCAGAAATTATAAGAGTTGATTGTAGACTGATCAAAAAAAGGTACAAATCAGGAATAAATGAGCAGAATCACTACTGATCCTACAGATACTGAAAGAATGATAAGGAAACATTATGAACAATAATGTTCCTTAGAACAGCTTAGATGAATTGGGCAAATCCCTTGAAAAATAAAAATTACCAAACTGACCCAAGAAAGGCATAAAATTTTAATAGTCTTAAATCAGGGAAAGAAATTGAATTAGTAATTTGAAGTCTTCCTTCAAAGATATATTCCAGTTCCAGATGTTTTCAGTTCTTCTAAACATTTAAAGAAGAAATTATACCACGGCACCTGGGTGGCTCAGTCAGTTGAACGTCCGAATTCGGCTCAGATCATGATCTCACGGCTCATGAATTTGAGCCCCACGTCGGGCTCTGTGCTGCCAGCTCTGAGTCTGGAGCCTGCTTCGGATTCTGTGTCTCCATCTTTCTCTGCCCCTTGCCTGCTCATGCTCTGTCTTTGTCTCTCTCTGTCTCAAAAATAAACATTATGGGGCACCTAGGTGGCTCAGTCAGTTAAGCGTCAGACTTAGGCTCAGGTCATGATCTCATGGTTCATGGGTTCGAGCCCCGCATCAGACTCTGTGCTGACAGCTTGAAGCCTGGAGCCTGCTTCAGATTCTGTGTCTCCTTCTCTCTCTTCCCCTTCCCACTGGCACCCTGTCTCTCAAAAATATATAAACGTTAAAAAAAGTTTTGGAAGAAAAAAATTAAAAAGTAATCATTAAAAAAAATTTAATATATATAATACCAAAATATATACCAAAGAAATAATACCAAAAACAAAAAAAACCCAATCTATACAACTTTTTATAGAAAATAAGAGGAAATGTTTCTCAGCTCATTTTATGAGGCCTACATACCCTAATCCCAAAACCAGATATTATAGGAAAAGTACATATTATTATCTCTCATGAATATATAGTACATGCAAAAATCCTTACCAAATTAGTAACAAATCAGTATTTATGAAGAGTAGTATACATAAAAGGATATATTAAAATGATACATATCATGATCAGTTTATCAAGTGGGATTTGTCTTAAAGGCACAGGTTGGTATATCATTGAAAATTGGTGTAGTTCATGTTAATAGAATAAAAGAAAACCATATTTTAATAAATGCAGAAAAAGCATTCGACACATTTCAACACCCACTCATAATAAAATCTCTTAACAAACTAGGACTAGATTAAAGGTATCTGTGAAAAATAATAGCCAGCTTCATACTCTTAAGGTGAAAATTAAATAATTTTTACTTAAGATCAGGAACAAGGCAAAGATGTTGACTGTCACTACTTCTTTATAAAATTGTTACTAGAGGTTGTAGCCAATGCAGTAGGCAAGTTAAAGAAAAAGCATACAGATTAGAAAGGAGGAAGTTAAAAACCATATGCATACCTAATCTATATAGAAAATTCTCAAGAGTATACCAAACACTACTAGAACTAAAAAATGAGTTTAGTAAGGTTGCTGGATACAAGGCCAAAATAAAAAGTCAGTTGTATTTCTGTATACTCAAAATGAACACTTGCAGAATGAAATTTAAAAACAACTCATTAATTATAATAGTATGTGAAAATAAAATATTTAGGAATAAAATAATAGATGTATAAGACTTGTACACTGAAAAACTAAAAAAGCATTGGTGAGGAAATTAAAGAGAATTTAAATAAATGTTGTTAAAATGGTATGAAATGTTGGTACAACAGCATGGATGAATCTGGGAAACATTTTGCTAAGTAAAAGAAGTCAGACACTGTAAACTATTTTATGATTCCATCTATACAAATCCTAGAATAGGTAAAACTACAGTGATGAAAAACAGACCAGTGTTTTCCTGAGGCTGGAGGAAGGGGGAACTCTTATGGGGCTGATGCAAAGTTCCATATCTTGATTGTGATGGTGATGGTTATGTGACTGTATACAGTTGTCAAGAGTATCAAAATACACACTTAAAGTGGGTCACTTATTGTATGTAAACTGTACCTCAATAAAACTGATGATAGGGGAAAAGAAAAATACACTTGGGAGAAAAGCTAGAAGAAAATACCATGAAATTCTATCATCAATTGCATTTTGATGGTTTGTGCTTATGTTTTCTTTTTCTAAATTATCTATGGTAGTATTGTGTCCATTTTAGTACTTAAAGCTTGGGACTTAACTATGTAACTTGCAGATAAATAATAATGTTTTTATTCAAACTTTAGATACATTAAGCCATACCATAAAGCAATGTTTTATTGCACGTCCCACACTTCTAAGATTTTTAAGAGCCTCATATAAAATAACATAATAAGCACATAACTGTACCTTTTTAACGTGCTCATTTTATAAGACCAGGAATATGGGTCATGTATGTTTTGGATATAAGATAACAAATATATATTTGGGCACATTGAGATTGAGACGTTTTTAAGACATTCCACTGTAGATCTATGAAGGGTGTCCTAAATATATTTTATTTTGAATTGGTTGCATTGGTTTTGTTAAATTTAATAAATAATATTTAATTTAGGAAATTCATTATCCGCAATATTAGAAGGAGAAGCACGATTAACTTTCTTGAATAGAGGCGAAGATTATGTCATGACAATGCCGTATGCTCATTGTAAAGGTAAGTATTTCCCATACTTGAGTTAGATATTCCTTAAACCTGTTTAAGTAAATGTATATGGCTGTAATCTGTAATGGTTGTGTTTTCTGATTGATGGAGTCAGCCTTTCATTTGAAAGTGTCCTTGGTTTATAGGTACTGAAGATTATTGCTATCATCTGCTGAATATTTCTGTGGTGAATTAATTCACCTACATCAGACTTTTTATAAAACATACCTAGTTGGAAGAGGCTGATTTATAATAATCGAATTTCATTTGCCTAATGTGCAGGTTTTAAAATTGATGAAACTGCCCATTATTTCAAAATCTTCAAAAGTGATTTTCATTTTCTTGTACTACCACCCCCTATTAAAATTTTAATTTCCTGCTTCTCATTGTACTAAATACTTTAAAAATGTTTCTTATTCTCATTTGGCAATTTCTTAAAAACTAATGTATTATACTTTCCCCCCATTATTAAAGATAGTTAAAATTAAAATAAAGATACTAAACTATCATTTACAACAGGCCAGGTACCCAGCCATTCTGTGCATTTACATTTATCAACTCATTTAGTCATTCCAGCAGCCCTATAAAGTAGATAATATTGTCTCTGTTTTATGGATGTGGAAAATGAGGCACACAGAAGTTAATTTGCCAGAGATCACATAGCTAGGATGTTGCAGAGTCAAGATCTCTGTGACCTGTACTACTATACTGTAGGGCATCAGCTTGGTCATTATCTGTATACTCCTTTCCAGCCCATTTTTTAAAAATAACTTTTTTGGGTACTTATCCTCTTTTAGGGACTGATTCTTGTAAACATGGAAATTATTTAATGTGGCCTCATTTTACAGAAACAAAAACCGAGAGTTTTAAGAATCTTACCTAAGGCCAAATGAGCTACTTAGTAAGAACGTTGAGACTAAACTCTAGGCTTGTTGACTCCTATCGACTGTAACATGGACCTACCTTGTGTGAAGTACAGGAGTGGCCACCTTGTGGCCTCAGGCTGGATGACTCTTAGAGCTTCATGTGTGGTTCTTAAAATAGACATGAAGTGAAATATCTGAAATTATGAACGGAATTGATAAGAAATATATTTTTAAATTTTATATCATTTAGAATAAACAAAATAGTATTTTATATAGATACCCAATGCCGGTGGCTTTTTTTTTTTTTTTTTTTTTTTTTTTTTTTTTTGGCATGAAAAAGGAGACTATAATAACCCCTTTGTGAATGAGCATAGGAAATAATGATTGCTTTCTACCCTTGTGTATTTTCTAAGATGTGTTCCCCAAATCATTAATCTCACAAATTGCTTTACAAAAGGAGTTCTACAGCCAAATAAGTATGAGAAACATTGCATAGTCTGGTCCCCTCTTGGAAATTAACATTGTACATTTGCATATTAAAGGCAGCTTTAACAGTTTCATACAAGAACACACATAGTTTAACAAAGTTAAATGAATTTTCTCAACTTTTCACCACAGAACCTATTTTTGAGGGAATTTTTTTATATGTTTGTCTTATTTATACAGTTGATTCTTGTTATTTGTAATAGCTATGTTCCATAAAGTTACCACAAACACTGTTTTAAAGAATACTAAACTATTGATCCTAGGGGGAACACAAGGTTAGGTTCCTGTGAGCCTCTTGACACATTTTCATCAATCAATCAATCCATAACCTTGTTTCTATTCAAAGACGCCTTATTATATATTATTGATTCATTAACATTGAACTGACAGCCAACAGCACTATAACTCATGCCTGAGTCAAGCTTTAACAAGATACATTATAGCCTTCTGTACTTAGAAATGCTGTACAGTACATTAGCACTGCATTTGGGGGTCATTTTTAAACAACAAAATCCCCAACAAAACACCAAAATGTGAAAAATGTGGCACTTAAATATACTGCAGAAAAGGCACTTATTTACCAAATGAGAGATGAAACCAGAAGGCAGTGTTACCTTGTTCAACCTCAGCTGGCAGTTTGCACATTGGACAACTCAAATTTTTCACCACTCTGTGCATGTCCATGAATGATTACAAAAGTGCTGTGAGTATTTATTTGGGGATTGCTAATATATTTTCATAAGAATGTGAATTCTGAAATAGTTCCATCTACAAATGGAATGGAATCTGTAAATAATTGTATCCTGTATTTAAGTCCTACAGAAACAACTTTATGTGTATGCTACTGATTGTTATTGGGTGGGACAGAATGCTCTTGAATTATTGGTTTTTCCTAGAAGGAGATTAGATTATAAAGTTCTGCTGGTTACTAAGCCAGTATTGCTCTCTCTCCAACCTTTTGTCAAAATTGTTTTTTTTCTTTAGGAATTCTTTATGGCACAATGACACTGGAGCTTGGTGGAATAGTCAATATTACGTGTCAAAAAACTGGATACAGTGCAATACTTGAATTCAAACTAAAGGTTAGTAGGGATAAAAGGTATCACCCAATTAAAGAAGATCTGTGCTATAAATATTGAACAAAGAGCACAGTTTAGTTCCTTATTAAAAAATAAATATAAGAACACAGAATTCATCAAAAGACAGCCTTGGCAGATCCAAATCCACACAAAACCATCATTTTTTTTTGTTTTAATTTTAATTAATAAAACTGTTGGTATAGTATAACAAATGAGATATATGGAGTAAATGGATAGAAATTTCTCAGTAAATTAAAACATTACAAAATACCACAAAGCATGTATCAGCTTGAGCTATAGTTGTGTACACTAAGAATTGTATGCCTAACAATTTACTCCAAAACTCACAGCCTTAAAAACAACCTTGTTCTGATCCATAGGGGTTCTATAATTTGGACAGAGAATATTGCGGATGGCTTATCTCTGCCACATCATGTTTGGGGCCTTAGTTGGGAAGCCTTGCAGGTTGTGAGTGACTCAGCAACTGGGGCCAATAATCTGAAGGCTCAGTCACTTCCATGTCTGGTGCCTGGACTGGGAAGACTAAAAGACTGGAACTACTGATCTGAGCACCTAGTATATGTGGCCTTTCCATTTGGCTTGGCTTCCTTACAGCATAGTGGCTTCAAGGTAGTCAGACTTCTTACTTGGTGGCTCAGGGTTCCAAGTGCAAGTGTTGTTGTGACCAGGGTGGAAGCTGTATTGCCATCCATGACCTGGTCTCAGAAGTCAAATTACATCACTTCCACCATTTTCTATTAGTTGAAGAGTTATAAGCTCACTCAGATTCAAGGGGAAGGGGCACCTGGGTGGCTCAGTTGGTTAAGCATCCAACTTCGGCTCAGGTCATGATCTCACGCTTCATGAGTTTGAGCCCCATGTCAGGCTCTGCCCTGACAGTACAGGGCCTGCTTGGGATTCTCTGTCCCTGACCCTCCCCCACTTGCACTTTCTCTCTCAAAATAAATAAATTAAAAAAAAAAAAACAACTTCAAGGGGAAGAGATATGGACCCCACTTCTCAGTGGGAAGATGGCCATCTTTGGAAAATTCTCTCTGCCTCTGAGTGAAAGGGAAATTTAAGACCTTTTCACCATGGCTGCTATTGGTATAGGACAATATATTCAAAGAATATTTCTATGAACTGTTTAATATTTGTTAAATTTCTCATATGTTGCTATCTAGCCGATCAGCAACTTTGTTCTAATAAAAAGTATCTCTTTTAAGTATTATTTGGTGCAGTGCCCTTTGTTGTTTTTTTTTTTAATCTTAGCAAATTTTTTTTTTGTATGGTGATAGTGTTATTTGAAAATCATGACTAAAGATGTTTTAAGTAATTTATGATACTTTTAAGGGTTAGATTGGAACATCAAAATTTTGTCACAGATGAGCGACATTAGTAAGGCAATATAGTAACTCAAAGTGTTTTCCTTATAACTTAATTTTGGAGGATTTTTGGTTAAGTATTGTTTTACTGTTTAGTTTTGAAGGCAGGGGTATTATTACTTCTAACAGATGAGTTAAGTCCCTTAAGTCTACTGAATTGTTATTGCTTAAACATACCGTAGCATTGACAGCTCAGTTGAGTCAGGAGAGAGCAGAGAGCATGAGTTATCATTTGTGATCTTTCTCAACATGTTTACTTGGACTTCACACAGTCTTGTTTATTTTTACCTATTTTTTCCACAGCAACAAATTCCGATTTCATTGAACGTTTCTGACTAAAATTTGAGTCAGCATTTCACCCTTCATGCTTTAGTAGCACTGTAACTATATACTTACTTCTTTCGTTTGTTTTTGTCTACATTATATGTAAATATAAGATAAAAGTAAACTCTTTCTGTAACATTTTCTCTTTTAAAAGCCATTTCTAGGTAGTAGTGACTGTGTTAATCAAATATCAGGGAAACTTAAATTGGGAAAAGAAGTCCTAGCTACTTTGGAAGGCCATTGGGTAAGTATTTTTCTATTTTAACTTTAACAAAAAGAATTTTATTCTGTGAAAAAAATTAAAAATCACATTTTAAAAGTTCACTTATTCCATTGCTAAAAACATCACTATTCACTATAAGCTTCAGCTTAACAAATATTTTGGCATTGATCTGTTATCAACAATATTTAGTGTCTTGTAATAATACTTTACCTTTCCAAAAGTTTAATTCAATAAAAATAGCTAACACTTATCATTTAGAATATACTGCATTGTTTAAAAATGTTACTCGTATTGACTCATTTGATACTGAATAACTGTATGAAGTGGGTAATACTGTTTCCGTATTACAGAGGAGGACACTGAGGCACAGAGTTTAAACAGTTTGCTCAAAGTGATGGAGCAAGAGTTCCAGCCTGTGCACTCTGGCTCCAGGGCTGGCTGCTTCTCGGAGCAGTGTCCTGCCCCTCACCTAGAAGAAAGAGGCATTTCCAGTTAGAGTTACAGTTCCTTTTCAGGGACATGGAAAGGGTATAGTGGTATTTGGAAGCAACAGCTTTTATTTATTTCTCTGCTGACCTAAATTCGCACTTACCTAATTTTGTTAAGAGGAGCTTAAATGAAAAACGGTATATCATGGTACTGCCTAGATGCACTGTCACTGTGAACACTGAGTGTATGCTGTTTTCTGCATTATAATCAGAAAATGATGAGAAATGTGATGAGAAAGTGAAACTGGATCTGGAGATTCAACCAAGAGGCCGCATATGCTCTGTAGCATATGCTCTGTAATTTTAGAATTTTACTTCTATCTGGGGCGCCTGGGTGGCGCAGTCGGTTAAGCGTCCGACTTCAGCCAGGTCACGATCTCGCGGTCCGTGAGTTTGAGCCCTGCGTCAGGCTCTGGGTTGATGGCTCGGAGCCTGGAGCCTGTTTCCGATTCTGTGTCTCCCTCTCTCTCTGCCCCTCCCCCGTTCATGCTCTGTCTCTCTCTGTCCCAAAAATAAATAAACGTTGAAAAAAAAAATTTTTTTTAAATAAAATTTTACTTCTATCTAAAAATCATTTGGAAAAAAAGATAGAACTATCTTTTTTTTTAAAATGAAATTTCTAACATTGTACTCAAATTTTTAATGCTAAGAAAGGTTCTTTGAGGTTTGTGTTGAGTACGTAGATAGCAGCATCTCATTGTAGCTGTTAGCAAATACTGTGCTCCTCTGTGACAATTCAGAAATCGTTGTTGAGGTTTTGCAAGTAATTGTTGGAAATTTGTTTATTAAGTAAAACTTGTGAAATCTCCTGAACTTTTTTGTGTGTTCAACCAAAAGTTTTAAATGACTAGAAGTACTTATTTAATGGTTTTATGAAATGACAAGACATTTGGAGCTTTTAGAAAAGTGCTAGTTGTATTTGTTTTAGAAATGTGTTTAACTGTGGGATTAAATACAGGAAAAAATTTTTATATTACTATACTAAATAATCCTAATTTAAATAATGATAGTTCTTTAATTTTTAATTTCTTTAAATACAGGACAGTGAAGTTTTTATTAATGACAAAAAGACTGATAATTCAGAGGTCTTCTGGAATCCAACACCAGACATTAAGCAGTGGAGATTAATAAGGCACACTGTAAAATTTGAAGAGCAGGGAGATTTTGAATCAGAGAAGTAAGTATACCATTTTTCAGCCAACTTCATGAGCATCGAAGAGTATTTTTTAACCCCTCAATAGTTGGCCACTTTTCTCTGTCACTTTTCAGTCACATTTTAATTCAGCAAAAATAGTTTAACATTTGTGCGATGTGACAGGATTTTTTTTTTTTGTATATGTGAATGTCAAATAAATATGCAAATCATACTAGTTAAAAAATCGTACTGGTTTTCTGCAGCTCTAAACTAAAACTTCCCATTTTTTCCTTTCTCTTATCTGCTCCAGGGCCTATTTAAAAACAAAAGCTTTTGTTTGTATAAAATTATGGGACTAATTATTCTTGATTTGCAAAATATATGAACTATGTCACTGGATATGCAGGCTTCTAGAGGACTTCCATTAGTTGAGCAATAATTAAAGACATAGTTTCTGTTCTTAAGTCATGGAATTCTTGCTGCATCTCTTATGCTTTTGAACTAAAAAATTATATGAATATTGCCCAGTTTTATTCTTGCTATATTTATTTGTGTTAGAAGTTTTCTGTGTAAAACACACTCTACCAGGTACTTTTTACACATTAGTTTAGTCCTCACTACATGTTCTCACATGCATATCATTCTTTGTCATGGCGATTCAAGTCTGTGTACTTTTCTTTTGCACCCAAAATTGGGACTGTCAGAAATGAAAGAATATGTATGCGGCAGTTCTAAAAATGGTTTCAGCTGTAACCACATGATGCCCTCTATCCAGGGTGAAGCTTTGCAAAGCATACAACAATTTTTGAGGTGTGAATGTAATTTCACATATTTTAAAGATGAGGAAACGAGTCTTAGGATAAGTAACTTTTAGTTCACCAGCCAAGCAGTGACAGAAACAGGATTCAACCCAAGTCTGTCTGATTCCAAAACCTGTGTTCTTTCAGTTACAACATGCTGTCTTCACAGGTAGAGTAATATAGCTGTCATAGTTTTATTTGTCTAATAAGAAACTAGGGGCGCCTGGGTGGCGCAGTCGGTTAAGCGTCCGACTTCAGCCAGGTCACGATCTCGCGGTCCGTGAGTTCGAGCCCCGCGTCGGGCTCTGGGCTGATGGCTCAGAGCCTGGAGCCTGTTTCCCATTCTGTGTCTCCCTCTCTCTCTGCCCCTCCCCCGTTCATGCTCTGTCTCTCTCTGTCCCAAAAATAAATAAATGTTAAAAAAAAAAAATTTAAAAAAAAAAAGAAACTAAACTTTAGTAGGGGAAAAGATTTTACCTCAGTCAGTGGTTCTCAACATTGGCTACACATTAAAATCACCCAGAAAACATTTAAAAAACCAGTACTTGGGCCTACTTCCAAGATTCTGATTTTAAAAGTTCTCTGATAATTCCTACATTCAAGGTGGAAAAGCATGGCATTACAGTGTTGGATCTTTGAGGCTAGTGGATCTTACACAGTGTGTATAAGAATCATCCCAAGAACTTAAAAATGTAGATTCTTGAGCGTTCAGTACATTCGTATTATCTTGGGTCAGCACCATTCATCACCATATGTTTAAGAACCCAGGTAAAAACTTTTCCTTGGCAAGAAGAAACTTAGTTTCCACTGTGTATTTCTACTCAAGACACCACTTTTTATATCTTGACTCATTTCTAAGCCTGTGAGCATAAGCTTTGTCAAAACCAAAAACCCACGTAGGCATCATTTTTCTCTCAAGGAGATTCAAGTCTATTCTATGTAGATTTGATTTTCTTTTGCTTTTTTAATGCTGTTTTTGCACACGTATTAGACTCTGGCAGCGGGTAACTCGAGCCATAAATGCCAAAGACCAAACAGAAGCTACTCAAGAGAAGTACGTTTTAGAAGAAGCTCAAAGACAAGCTGCCAGAGATCGGAAAACAAAAAGTGAAGAGTGGGCGTGCAGGTTATTTGAGCTTGATTCACTCACAGGAGAATGGCATTACAAGTTTGCAGAGTAAGTAATTAAAACATAAATAACAAACAGTATATGAGCATTGTTTTTTGCCTTTATTTCTAGAATTTTTACTGTTGGGGTATTTTTTTTATTAAGCCCTATCTATATATTAGTATGAGATTTTAAATTTGATGTTTCATTCATTGTAAATTTGATGCCATGATAGTGGTCTATAAAGTAAGCTGAGGATCAGAAGATTAGATATGACAATTCTTAATCTTACAGCTAGGTTCATAATTACTAATGAAAATCTAATTATAGACAACATTTTTGGAAAAGTATTTGAGTGTTTAGTTATTAGATAAATGTTTTTTTTTTTCATTTATGCAGTACTAGACCGTGGGACCCACTTAATGATATGATACAGTTTGAAAAAGATGGTGTTATCCAGACCAAAGTGAAACATCGCACTCCAATGGTATGTAATAAAAAAGTAACAAGATCTTCTAGGCATATGAACTTTTCAAACCCATAGTATCTTTGGCAGCCAATGTTTAAAATTTAACTTCAAAATTTAAAATGTTGAGTCAGCAAAATGGCAGAATAGGCAGCTCCAAGCTCTTTTCCCTTCAAAGAAACAAAAAAGCAAGCAGGAGCTGTCAGAACCAAATTTGCCAAAACTATGGAAAATAGTCAGGTTTGCAGCAACAGAGTGAATAATGAATCAAGAGAGAAGTGACTTCAAAGCAGTTATTTTTACTTGCCCTTGCCCCAACTCATCACTGATGCACTGGTTGTCTTAAGGGCCCTCACATTCTCAATGAGAGCCCTGGCTCCAGAGGGAACAGAGTAGATCTTATTCACAAATTGTGTACGTCTATTTTAACCTGTCTAGGGGCTACTTTAAGTATGCTGACAGGGCAGGCATTTCTGTTTTTGCTGAAAACTCAGAGCCCAGGCAGAAAGGCTGCAGGCATTTCTTGGAAGTGCTATGAACCATACTGACATCCTGCACACACTTGGGGCAAAAGACTATCGTTGAAACAATACAATAGACTGTGTAAGGCCTAGGAACAAAAGCTAGGGAGAGATTGTTTGGAAAACTGGGGCATCAGGGATTTTAGAAAACCAAATGTCCAAGGTAAGGTGCTTATGCTCAGAAAAGAACAGTGAAAGAACACTGAGCTAACACCTAAGCTCAGTGCAAGTCTGGCTTAGTGCCCCTACACTGAACAGTCTGCTAAGAGTGGGAGAGTATTTTTTTGTTTTCGTTTTTGTCTTTTGTTTTGGTTTATTTGGCTACTGGTGTTCAAGGAAGTTTCTGTCAAAATGCTAACCGAACATAAGCTAAGGAACAGAAATTTCAGTAACCATGAACAACATTACAGTCTTTGCAGAAATAGTTTAGGAACTTCTGTGAACAAATGGAGTACTATAGCTTTCATCAATCCAGGAAACAGAAAAACCCTGGGGAAGGTGGAGAATCTGATTTCCAGAGTTACCACATTATCACACTCAGATGTCCAGGGTTTTCCATGAAGAATTACAAGGCATAGAAAGAGCATGAAAGCATGACCCATTAAAAGGAACAAAATAAATTGACAAGAAACCATCCCTGATGAAATCTAGACACGAGACTTAGCAGACAAGGACTTCAAAAACAGTTGTCTTAAATGTGCCCAAAGAGTTAAATGAAACAGGAACAAAGAACAAAAGAAAATCAAGAAAAAGATACATAAACAAAATTAGGATATCAACAAAGAGAAAATATATAAAGGAACCAAACAACTTCTGGGGTTCAAAAATACAATAACTAAAGTGAAAAAGAGGTTACTATTGACTATAGGGAAGAGGGAATGGGAAGTCATTGCTTAATTGTTAACAGTCTTTCTTTGGGATGATGAAAATGTTTTGGAAGTAGCTGTGATATTTACACAATATTGTGAATCTACTTAATACTACTGAATTGTACACTTAAAAATGGCTAAATTATTACAATTTAGAAATTTTAAAACATTTTAAAATTTTGTTTCTTCTTTCAACAACACTAACATGGTAGAGACAGACAGGGCTTCTGTATTTCCTCCTAAAAGTAGAGTTTACTGATGACAGTAAATCTTTGCATACAGAGACATAGCTTATTGACTCCCTTTGTTGTTTTAAATACTTCTCACCAGTCTTCATCAATCTCCAATTTGAACCTACTCTAAGGTGGATTTGGATTCTAATGTAACAGTGTTCGGTCTCTATGCCTTGAAGTAAGAGGGCATAATACAGGTTGAATCCAGAACTTACCTGCTCATTGTTTATTTTCTATAATAAAATTATAGAAATTTTATTTTAATTTCAATCTTTTGAATAAAATTTTGTAAAAGAATAGGTAATAGAGGATAATTCCTATTTAGAATAGTAAACAGGTCTGAATAGAGTTAAAGACTTACGATGACTGGTTCCCTCTTTCTAAGCATGTAAATTACCTTACCCTTCTAATTCTAGTTTCTCCTCTTGAATTTGAATTTTTATATTTAGGATTGACCTTCAGAATTGCAAGCCTATTAATAGGGTAGACTCTGAAGTATATTACTTTAAGAAAAATTTAGTCCTAGTTGAACATTTAATATACTTCTGAATCTTGTGCATGCATTCAAATGCTTTCTGTAGGTTTAAATCATGCTCTGCCAAATAATATTTTTATTTATTATAAGATGCTTTCTGCAATATCCAGATATTATTAAAAGTAAATAAATAATTTTATTGGAAACCCAACATCATCCAATGGGAATGTTTCTAATGTTGGGAATAAGATAAGTATGACTGAAAAAGGTACTGACTGGTGCAATTAGAAGCTTGGCCGGGGGGGGGTGGGGGGGGGTGGCGTCTGTATTCACATTTGTACACAAAATTGTCTTTTGAAGGATATACAAACTAATAGCAGTATCTATTTTGTGATGGAGATACTGCATTGCTAGTAGAGGTCAGGAGTGAAGGGAAACTCTTCATTGTATATATTTTCTTGTTTGTGCTGAATTAGTGTTTCCTATTAAGATTAAATGATTGTATAAGTGTTACCACCTCTTGTTAGGTTTTAATTAGACTATTTCATCTTTGTTTTTATTTCAGTATACTTAAAGTGCCCATGAACTGATAGTTTTGACAGTTTTACAACATTGGTATTTAATTACAAAACTCATTGCAAATTCACATTATAGTTTGGGCTTTTTCTTCAGGTTAGTGTCCCAAAAATGAAACATAAGCCAACCAGGCAACAGAAGAAAGTGGCAAAAGGCTATTCTTCCCCAGAACCTGATATCCAAGACTCATCTGGAAGTGAAGGTAAAAATGTTTACTGCAGACTATTCACTATAAGCGTCTAAACTTTTAAAAGGATATTACTGTATTATGTTTAATGTATAAAAAGCATTTTTCATATTAACTCAAGATAATTTGGGAGTTTTGGTGGGGACAGAGATGGTGTGCCTAAAAAGCAGTTTTAGATTATAGACAAATTGCAAGACCAGGCCACAAGGGAAAGGTGAGGGAAAACATGCAAATCAAGAACCACATTGTAGTACTAGTTCTTTTTACATCTTGTTAGCTCCTGAAAAGTTGTTGATGGTTTCCTAGATTCAATGCAGGGACCGGTTTTTGAGCTTTGAACTCAGTTCCATGCTTCAAAAAAATTTTTCACTTTTAGATTAAATTATTGTAGTGTTTATAAGCCACAGACAAGTAAAAATATATCAAAATTATGAACTAAATTAACTAGTATGCCATTCTTGTACAAGCCAGATAATGTGTAAAATGTCTTGAATTACACTGACATATAATCAAGAAAGGATTAAAGTAATGAATGTCTGAGAAAATACAGTTTTTTAAAGCCATAGTTCTCTACTAAGCTCACTCTAAGCTGGGAGCTTATTTTTACAGAGATGACAGTAGAAGTGAATAAATGATAAATGCCGGGAAATGAGTAGGTAACAAATAATAGTTTAAAGCAGAGGGAGCTGAATTCACTTTGAGGGCAGTTTTTAAAAGAACCCTGATGAATTATTAGGATTTCTAATGGATTACAGCAGTCTAAGCTTGAGGGATGTGGGTGGGATCAAGATACTGCAGTCAAAAAGGAATAAAAGTTTAAAAGTAGGAGTCATATGGAACCAATGTGCTAGACGGGGAATATTAGTTATGCTGTTTTGTTCCCATTTTACAGAAAAGGAAATTGAGATACAGGTTAACCTACACAAGGTCACATATCCCATAAGACAGTATATATACATGTAATATATGAAGATATTTTGGCTCCTTAATTCACTCTCTTATCCACTGCACTATTTACCTGTAATTTATAAGGTAAATAACACTTAACGTGTGCCAAGCTAGATGTTTAAAATACCATGCCACAACCATGTGGAGTTTGAGTAGTATTATCCCTGTTTTACAAATGAGAACCAAAATGAACAAAAATGGAAAGGAAGGAATGATATGAGAGGTTTGAAGGTAAAAAAAAAAAAAAAAAAAAAAAAAAAAAAAAAAAAAAAAAAAAAAAATTTACTGGTTGAAGGTAAAAATTTGTAGAAGAGGTAGCAAAAACAACTGAAAAGGCTTAAAATTGGGGTGACCAGGGAAATAAAGATAACAATTAATAAAACACTGAAAATGGAACTTAAGAAGCTGACTTCTTCAGAAGTAAGCAAATGGACAAGAGACACGAGAATAATACCTTCCCCCAAATTAATATATGTATTTTTAATGAACTGTTTGTTGTCTATTTCATTTAGTTAAAAAAAATGAAACTGATGCCACAAAAAAAAATTCAACTAATGATTGGAACTTTAAAAATGCAGAGTATTGGGGTGCCTGGGTGGCTCAGTCAGTTAAAGCGTCTGACTTCAGCTCAGGTCATAATCTCATGGCTCGTGGGTTTGAGTCCTGCATCAGGCTCTGTGCTGACAGATCAAAGCCTGGAGCCTGCTTCAGATTCTGTCTCTCTCTCCACCCCTCTCCCCCACCCCCTCAAAACTAAACATTTTTTTAAAATGCAGAGTATTACTATTATTATGTTACATTCTAAGCCATAAAAATAATGCCTAGGAAAAAATTTATTATATAAGGCTCATTAAGCTGAAATGTAAATTGCTTATAATTAAATGTGTTTGCTATTTTCATCAACTTTATTCCAAATGTCTTTTTAGCTCAATCAGTAAAACCAAATACAAGAAGAAAGAAAGGGATAGAACTGGGAGACATTCAAAATTCCATCGAATCTATAAAACAAACGCAGGAAGAAATTAAAAGGTAATATATAAGGACAGTGGCTATTTAAGTCTAGAGAGGTAGTTAAGAATCTGTTATGTAGGAAATCATATGCAAACTTTACATTTTTATAACATTGTTGAGCTATTAAGATAGATTGGCTTCTGTCGCCTGACGACTGCAACTTGTGAAATTCCATCACCATTCAAATATTGGGGGAGAGTGGTGATTTCTCCTCTGTGATTATACGAGTGGAATCTCTTTATCTTATTGCTGTAGCATACCTAGAAATGTAGGTGTGTTGGATGTGGTAGAGGGGTGGTTTCTGAGAAAGTTGGCTAGCAAAGGTTTCTGCAGTCCCTTTGTACCTGGCTAATATTTAATAGGAGTGCATCATGTGTTGACATATTGAAATGCTTCCATAGCAAGGGGTAAATAGCCACCACCCTGAGACCTTTGAGGGCTCTTTTTGTAGTCCCAGACCCTTCCTCACACATTCCTCCCCAGATCCAGCAACAAAAAATCATTAACACTTAGGAAGGTTCCTTGAAGGGGGCACCTGAGTGGCTCAGTCAGTTAAGTGGGCTCAGGTCATGATCTCACAGTTCATGAGATCGAGCCCTACATTGGGCTCTGTACTGTCTCCCTGTCTCCCTCTCTCTCCGCCCCTCCCACCTCATTCATATTCTCTCTCTCTTTCTCTCTCTCTCTCAAAAATAAATAAATAAACATTAAAAAAAAAAAAAAAAAAAAAAAAAAAAAAGAAAATTCCTTGGAGGAGAACTCCTGATTCTTTCTGCCCCATTGCTAAGGCTAGTAGGAGTGTAGATTGGTTTCCTCCCATTACTATATTAGAGGATTAAAAAAAAAAAAAGATTTTCTCAGTTCTTAGTGATCTTACAGCTTACATTTAGTTGTTTTTTTCATTTATAGCCTTATCTCCTGCCATTCCCCTGTACCTGTCCCATGCTCCAGTTCTGTGAAACTCCTTACAGCTCCAGAATATACTGTACTGTCTCATCTTTGGAGCTTTGACCACACTGAATCCACTTTTTAGACTGTTCTTCCTCCCACCCTGCCCATCAAGAAAATCCCTGTTTATCCTTCAGAATATGATTGAAATGCCACCCTTTTTGTAGCATTTCTAATTACCCACATTGCCCTGTAGAGTTAGTAATCCCTGCACTGTCCTTGTACAGTTCCCTATGCATGCTACTTTTGAGCGTTTATTGGATTACAGAGTTGTTATTGTGTGTGTCTGTTTACCACACGACCACCACCCCCTCCCGCAACTGGACAATGAGCTCCTTTAGAGGAGGGAACATGTCTTCTGCATCTTGATATCATCAGCCCTTATATAAAATGCTCATTTCCTAGTTTAATTATCTTTATAAATTAATGAGCCTACTTGTTCATTTGCCTCCTTTCTTTCTCTATACTGGTATACCAGTGTAGAAGTCAAGGGGGGCGGAATGAAATCAGCTTTTTTTTTTTTTTTTTTTTTTTTTTTTTTAGCCAAAAGCATTTAGGATGGCATGAGGATAATGTAAGCTCATTTAATGACTAAATTAACATTTTATTTTCGTTAGTATATGAAATGCCTATATAGCAGTTTTCAAATTAGCAATGTCATGAAATCTGTTGTATTATGTTTTCTTAGAGAATTTAGAATTTTTCTCCAAATCTACTTCTGTCTTCCCCAAAGTAAAGATAAAAGAACTTTACTAGACCAACTAAGAAACACAATTTTTGTTTTAAAACCACTGTGATAACAGAGAAAAGTGGTATATTTTTATATCCTCTAACTTTAATAATTCTGTTTGATGAACATCAAGTAATATATTTGATACAATGTGGAATGTAGATTTAGACAAGACCTAATAACGGCTTCACGTAACATAATCAGCTTCCTGTTGATGTTGTAGTAGTAATTGATTAAACAAGTTACCTTAGATAATGTAATTAAATGTTCTCTTAACTAAGACTTTGCTAATTAAGTCTCACGTATCAAACTGTGATTTATATGCTAACATTTTGACAAATAATTTTAAAATTTATTGTTTCTTATCTTTGTAGAAATATTATGGCTCTTCGAAATCATTTAGTTTCAAGCACACCTGCCACAGATTATTTTCTGCAACAAAAAGACTACTTCATCATTTTCCTCCTGATTTTGCTTCAAGTCATAATAAACTTCATGTTTAAGTAGAAGTTCCTTACAGTTGAATCACTGAACTGGAATGATCAAATTTGGCCTGGGACCAATGTTCAAGTTGGTTTGGTCTTTGTTAAAATGTCACAATATTTCTAAAACAAAAATCTTAGAGATAAATGTAGAGGTGTTGACCTTTCATACCTTTTTTCCTTAACCTGAAATAAGAACTCTTGGTCATTAAAGTGAGCTATGTGTTAAGTGCCAGAACATTTCTAGCTTTTGTGACAGTGTGTTTACATGTGAGTATAATAAGTCCACATGTATACACAATTGTGTCTTATGTATACCTGACAGTAGTCTTTGTATTCTATAGTGTGTTCTGAGATATAACATTAACATTCATAACAAAAATGTTATCAATCTTATAAAATATATACATAGCAATCTATTTTCTTCATACAACAGGCACAAGACTTTTATCAATAAGGAATTACAGAATGGGAAATGATGGCATAATAGACATATTATAAATAGTTCAAAACACTGTCCTGTTAGAAATATCATTTCCAAAGCACCCAGCTCAATTGTGTTCTTAGAAACAGCAAGAAAAAAGTGTAGTTGAAATTGGTGTACTGAGAGAGACAAGGTGGCAGATTGCTTTTTTAAAGGTTTACACACAGTTTTTTTAACCCCTAGAATTTTAATATTTATAGAGACAGGTATAAATCTGTGTGTGTGTTTATCGACATAAAAAACCGATATGCAGCTATTTGGATCTATTGATTATATCTTTCTTATACCTATATAATACCACCTTAAGCATTTGCTTAAAAAATTGTGGTCAAAATTGCTGTCCTTTTTTCTTATTTTTGTTTCTTGTAACCCTGTTGGTCCAGTAGCATAGGCCAAATTCTAGAGTTGTTTATAGGGCATATGATAATTCATGTTTTTCATTATGAAAAACTTATTTTAGCTTTCGTTTAGAACTTAGTGTATTCAGTGAGTAAATAGAATAGAAAAAATTATAACCAATATTTTACTTCAAAAGCCAAATAAGAGAAAGGCAGTAAGAAAAACTTTGTGTCGTAGCATTTATGTGTACATTAAAATTTATTTCTTTAAAATGTGCAATAAGTTGAGCATCTAAGAAGAGCATCAAGTTCTGAGGTTAATTCTTTATTCCTCTGTTCTCAGTAACTTCATTCTGTGACAAACCACACTTCAAGATTTTTTTTGTTCAGACTCAGGCACACTTTTTCCTAATTTTTTTTCAGGTTAATATTTTAATGTTTGTCATAAATATTTATAGCCCTCAGAAGCAATTTTTGCAAATGTAGCTAAGTTTAGGAACATGTTGTCCTAAGATATGTCTTAGAATCCTGAAAGTATACCTTTCGGAATGGTTATTAATGAAAAGTCAGAATAATTATTCTGGCTACATTTGCCTTTGACTAAGAAGAGACTGTGAGACACTAGCAAAATTACAATCAACTGTTTATGCCAAGATATATACAGTCAAGGAATGATTGCTAAATTATAAAAATTGAAAGTGATAAAGAGCCTGCTTTTTTTCTCCCTTACCAATTTAGCTATCTTAATAGTCTTCGGTTTTAAGAAGAGCCATATAGTTTGGGCAAAATAATGCTGTATTCCATATGTACATGTGAAAGCACTTTTTTTAATTGACTGAAATATAAATAAGATGTACCTATACCTGGTATAAGTATAGATATGTCTACACTAGAACAGGTGAGATTTGTTTGTATTTCATACTTGTGTCATTTTTGTCCTCACTCTCTGTTACCAATGTCATGCTCAACTGCCTATTGATTGATATATGATATTTTGTAAATATTGTACAATTTGATCCTTTTTATGGTTTCAATTAGTATTTATATATAAGTTGATTGGCTGATCACAAAAATAATTTCATCATTAAACCCTGAAAACTTAAAATTTTTTGCTGATAACCCCCTTTTGGGGTTTTAGTCCTACCCACTTGTGTGTTCTTTTCATTTGGTCGAAATAGTGTTTTATTTGTATAGGTATCTTCTAAGACTGGGAAGGTAGTTATGTTCTTTATGTTTTTCTTTTTAGAGCAGATGTTTTGGGTTCTTATTACTCAAGGAGTCAAAAACTTTCATGAAAAAGAGCAGGGTTACTCATGACTGTTTCTTATACACTGAAAGCATACATCTAATCTAATAGTCTTCTTATGCTTTTAGTTGTATGAGTTCCTTTCTGTGAACTGAACACAAAACTCAGGAATTGGTGGCTTAGTTTTTAGATCAGTGGTTATACTAGGCTTAGTATGTGAATCCTTTAAGACACGTAATTAACTTTGTATGTAGCCATATATGTAATTGACTTTGAATGTTCCCTACCTGAGATTAATACTCCTTCAAACATGGATTCATAAAAATTGTGATTTACAGTTCCCAGTTGTTTGAGAGCCTCATGATGGTTTCCAGGATTTAAGATCTTATGACCACTTTTTTTTTCATTTGATCAAAAATTTTATTTTTTCACATGAAAATTTACATGAGTAATAATTATCGACATGTGCATTTGTTTTAGTTATGCAATGTACTATGCCTTCAATTATCCACCATTTAGTGAGGTGTAGCTGGCCCAGGAACAGATAATAAATAGGGCATGTGAAATAAGTAAGTTTCAGCAATAGCTATTTCACTTATATTTCATGTCAGTACTTTTTTGCATCACTTTTATAAAGGTACAGTGTAATCTTTGTCACCATTCCATTGAAAAAGTTGGCCTTGTAAAATACAACACTCATTTAGTATTCACGCTTTTGTGCCTTTAAGAAACTACTTTTTGTTATTTTTGTGTTACAGAACTACAATATGATTCTAAGTGTTTATAGGCTTAACTGCCATAAAGGGTCATTTCTCTGTGTCATTTTATTTCCTTTTATATAGCTATAGTATATTTAAACAGTAATGCTGTACTTTTATAAGGCTTTGTCTATTTAACTATTTCAAGTATATTCTTCACTCTCAGACATCATTGAAGTAGATTTGTCAGATTATTCTGAGTATTGTAAACAGTGCCTTTTTGATGGAATTCACACTGTTTTGGGTGTCAACTTGTGCCATACTACACATAAAATTCTGTGGAAGGCAGTTTTAACTTTTTGAAGAATATCTTAGTCAACTATTTAAGAAAACAAAATTCCATTTTTTTCCGGTGTTTAGCATTTCTAGCGAGCAATGAATATATTTTTGAGTTTTTTTTTTTTTTTTTGGTTGATATACGGTGATGATGGCAAAATTGATGAGCCATACCTGATGCTGTAGATGATTTTGAATTATGTTAAATGTACAGAAATAAAATACTAATATTAGCATTTATACCAAATTTTCCAATTTGAACCAGTAAGGGGTAACACCACACAAATCACTGAGTTTACATTTCAGCTTCTATTTCATGTGACTACATGGATAAAGAAATTCTTTAAAATGTATAACCTGCCACTATTGTGTCATTTGACTTTATGTAATTTGACTTGATTTTGTTTACGTATAGTGTGTGAATTTAGTATATTTAAGTTACTTTTTGTTACTCTTTAATATACTGTTTGTTTGGTTACAGTTTTTAATTGAAGATGGACTGTTAAAATCGTATAGGACCAGTGTCTCCTTAATATGATTAACATATTTAGAAGAGCCACAAGAAACCCATGACAAAATGAATGTGAACATACTTTCTAAAATGTTTAGAAAATTTTATCTTTTTGCATTTATCATGTAAAATTATTTAGTATTACAATATTGATGTTTATTTAAAGAAAAATGCCATGAAACATTTGAATTGATGAGCCACAGAATTACTTCAGTTGAAAATTTTTTCACTTTTTAGCATGCTAAATATACATTTAAGTTAAATATCCTGTTTAATAGCCATTTATAAATTCAGACACTACCACTGGTCAGTTTTGTATAATAGAGTAAAAAGTGTGTTATCTGCAGTGTAAGTACAGCACACTGTCACATCCTTTCCCTAAGGTGCATAGTAGATGTACAGATAGTCATAGGCAACTGTTTTGTAATGTATTACATTTCTAATCTATTATTCCTAACCTATTATAAATGTTTGCAGAGACAAAAGAATTGAATTTTTCTAATCTGTAAAATTATGCTAACTTCTACAGGTAGGCATTCTGAATAAAATTCTAAAAAGAGTAAACTGTGATCAAATGACTTTGAATATAACATATAGTGACTGAATTACTTCATCCTAATTTTTAAATTGAAAAAAAAAGATCTTTTTTTGTAGGGGTAGTTGTGAAGGAGGGTGAAGGGCTGGGAAGGGATTTAATAGTTAGAATCCCTACTGTATGCTTTCCTTGGTGCTTTATATTCATTCTTCTTAACTACTCATAATAACCTTAAGCTAAGTGGAAGTTAGCCCGACTTTATAGATGAAGAGTCTGAGACTCAGAGAAGTTAAATGACTCCAAAAGCTATACAGTAAAAGTGACAGCAAGCATAAGTTTGAATCCATGTCTGACATCAATATCCACTCTCCTTCCACTGTACGCTTAAGTAGAACTCTGATGGTAGCACTTTTAAATGTTTAGATTAATCCACTGCTTCAATCAGTATACTATAGCTATATCCACTGCTGCTTTGTGATGGGTAGAACCCAAAAAAATGTTACCATTAAACAAGTATATATACAAAACCTATATAGAAGTTTTTTCTCC